AGAAAGCTTTGACATCATTTAGGTTTTAACTGTTTTGGGCAGGGATTCTGTAAGTTTGGATATTTCATTTAAAAATGAGTAACAGTGAACTTCTTTAGTTACTGTAATAAATTGTTTCTTCAGACTCCTTAAGAGAAAGGGGACACTGTTGAGTCTTATGCAGCTATTTACTAGATTAATACCTGACTAGATCTATTATTTAATGGATCAGTGTTTCCTGTTCTTTGGTTTGAGGAAGAAATGCATTTAAGCTACAAAAATAAACTTGGGAGATATTTTTCAGTCATAAAAAGCAATGAAGTACTGTATATGCTACAGTATAGATGAACATTGAAAACACTGTGGTAAGTGAAAGAAGCCAGACACAGAAGGCCACCTATTGTTTGATCCCATTTATTTGAAATGTCCAAAATAGGCAACTCCATAGCATACAGAAAACAAATTAATGATTGCCAGGAGTTGGGGGGAAGGGAAATGTGAGTTATCTTTTTAGCGCAATAAAAATAGTCTGGAATTTGATAGTGGTGATGGTTCCACAACATTGTGAATATACTAAATACTGAATTGTACAATTTAATGTGGTTTAAATGGTAAATTAGATTATGTGAATTTTATCGAAGGGAAAACAAAAAACCTTGGGCCATATAAATTCACTCTTCTAGTTGACTAAGAGGATAAAAAAAGTACTTGTATTTATCAAATAAAAAATGACAGTTTAATTAGGATTTCTGAAGAGGAAATCTATGTAATTTTATTTAATAGTTTTCCTTAACCGATTTTTTTTCTAGAAATTTAGAACACTTAACCAATCTCTAAATGTTTTCCCATCAGTTCATTTTTTTTGTAGTACACAGGATAATCCTGTATTTCTATTACTCATAAGTAAATATGTACCCAGTTTTAGTACTGAATGGCAAAAAAATTACCATATAAGTACACAAGTTTATTAGAAACTGTATTTTAGTTGTTCCAGTTCTACCTTCTCTGCCCAATATTAGGACAAGAGGGAGAGAAGCAGAGTGTGGCAGGCTCCTCAGCTATTTTTTTGGGTGATAAACTATAGATTATTTTTGAATGAAATAAAAACCGGGTGTTGCATGGTTTCTTCCTTTAGGCCCGATTTTATTCGCCAGCCACCATCTTTATTGATGAAATTGATTCCATCTGCAGTCGCAGAGGGACTTCTGAAGAGCACGAGGCAAGCAGAAGGGTGAAAGCCGAGCTGCTGGTTCAGATGGACGGTAGGCGTGTGTGCGTGCGGGGGCCGACCCGAGCTCTGGCCTGGTGCTGGCCCACATGGCTCCCGATGACTAGTGTGGGCTGGCGAGTGGCGTTTGGCAGCATTAAATGGGTACACTGACAGTGGTGCCATGCCAGGAATAATGCCTGTTCACACGGCACCCTTTGGCATATATGCTGATCTCTTATTTTCAGCCATGAAATTGAAATAAATGCAGATAAATTGGCCATAAAGAAGGATATGTATGCTTTTGAAAAATTTGAAAAATTTTACTATAGTTGAGCTGAGCTGTTCTTTTGATTAAATCTTTTTTGAGTCAGTTTTTGCACACTATTAAGAACTCATTTTTCTTAGACCACAGTTCACCTGTATACCAGCTTAAAAAGTCTTAAGGAGGCTTGATGATTATACTACCTTGTAATGTTGTGCTAAATATTATTTGGTGATCTTTAAGTAGTTGAGCTTTATTTTGTCTATCTTAATATCTTTTTACTCTTTCCTTACCCTTCTTTTAGGTGTTGGAGGTGCTTCTGAAAATGATGACCCTTCCAAAATGGTTATGGTTCTGGCAGCTACTAATTTTCCCTGGGATATTGATGAGGCTTTAAGACGACGTCTTGAAAAAAGAATCTATATTCCATTACCATCAGGTATCTTCTTGTCAATTTGTCAGAAAGCTCGTGTTGACTCTTAAGTAGTTTTGCTTAGAAATTTTTTAATTTGGTATAAACTTTCCTTCAAGAGACAAATGCAGGGTGTTCTTCCTTACATTACTGGCTTTGCTATATCTAGAGCCTCAAAGCCTTGATACCAGAAAATTAAAAATTCAGTGAGGAATGGTTCTTAATTTTTAAGCAAATGAGCTCTGAGAGTTGGTAAACAACTTCTCACACAAAGCAGACTTGAAAAAAAACAATACACTGTGTTTATGTTGAAGGCTTATATTTTTAAATTTGTTTCTACATTAGCAAAAGGCAGGGAGGAGCTATTACGAATAAGTCTCCGTGAGCTGGAATTGGCTGATGATGTTGACCTTGCAAGTATAGCAGAAAACATGGAAGGTTATTCAGGTGCGGACATTACCAACGTGTGCAGGTATGAATTATTTTGGAAGCAAAGGTTTTTGTAGATCTAAACTTATATCGTGAAGTTTTTATGCCAAATTAATAATAAAGACCCTGATTATAGTCTACAAAGAAACAAGTTCTGGTATTTAGTGTTAGCAGGTGCTGGTAAAGATACTGGTGTGTATTACATGTCAGTGGAGAGAGTCTGTTCATTTGAAAACAAGTTCAAAAGCTAATGTTATAACGATGGGTATAACATATGAAATCAATAATTGTTTTGGATTAGAATAATTAATGTTGGTGTATAGGTTCAATATACCATTATGTAGAAAGTATCATTGTGAGACTGATTTGGCATACCCAAGTAGAGTACAATCTCATTCAATGAAAGTGTCCTAAATGTGATAGAAATAGTAATAAAAAAGACTGCCTCTATTCCAGCTGATTCATAAAATCTAAGTATTAGCTGAGATGCTTCAGCAAGGTGCTTGCCTGCATTAGTTTCTTTATTGTGAAACTAAGCATATCATGCACGGCTAGAGTGAGGATCAGTGATAATGTGGGCACATACATAAAGCAGCCATGTGTTTGCCATCTCCTTGCATAGGTGGTTGCTGCAATTAAGGATAAAACTTGGTGAAAGCATAGAGGTACTTGAATCTCAATATTCTCTTTTTAAAAAAATAAAAAGGTACAAAATAACAGAGGGGGAAAGGAGAAACCACCTAGACTGGATCAGATAGCTTTTCCTACACATGTAGGAAGTACATAATTTTCTAGCTAAGAGGTTTTCATTCAATCACTGTGTGTGTGCGTGCGCGTGTCTGTGTGTTCGTGTGTGTGTGTGTGTGTGTGTGTGTGTGTGTTTTAAAACTTAGGGATGCATCCTTGATGGCAATGAGAAGGCGTATCGAAGGTTTGACCCCAGAAGAAATCCGAAATCTTTCAAGAGAAGAAATGCACATGCCTACTACTATGGAAGATTTTGAAATGGCTTTAAAAAAGGTTTCTAAGTCAGTGTCTGCTGCAGATATCGAAAGATATGAAAAGTGGATATTAGAGTTTGGATCATGCTAATTCTCACATGTAAACTGTGAGAAACCTGCCTTAAGTATTTGAATAATAATTAAATGTAGCATTTCATTGCACTGAATGCTATATTTTTTTAAACTTTCATAATGGTAAGACTTAAAAAAGTATGCTTCTCAATAAAGGCATTTTTTAAAGCTGCAAGCAGTTCAGTCTATTTTACTTAGCATTACCTGGTTTCTTTTCACGTACCACAAATGTTGCAGCACAAATGCTGTTACTTAGTTTGGAAAAGTCTTATATGCACTTATATAGTTACAGCATCTTCCACCGCCTGTGGCTGATTTTCCTTCCAGGGAATAAAACTGGGTGCCAGTGGAAAACTGATTCCTGAACATTTTTACACAAGCAGCTAATTGAAACATGAATTGCGCACAGTGTGCCTTCCTACCTGCCTACTGTTATGGTAGCTTCCCTCTATTTCTTGGGAGATCTTTAAAGACCCTTCATTTTACTGTGCATTTCAAAAAGGAAAAAAAATATGTATCCAACCTTGCCCAACTTTTTTCTGCCTATGTGAGGCTGCACGGTAGGTAAGTAAAGATACTTCTAAGCCTATGCTGCCGACTCTAATGAAACTCATTAACTCATTCCCTCGTGGGTACTAGGCATAATCAAAAGCTGATGGTGTAAGTAAAAGGTAATAAATGCTCCCAGTCTCACTGGTATGGAAAAAAGGCAGGATAGGAATTTGCAAACTGCAAAGCCTATATCCTTCAGTTGGCCACATAGCCTCCTACATGGCTCTCCTCACCAGACTCTACAAGCTTATGCTTGGTGAAAAGTGACCCTGTCATCATTTAGAGTTAGGACTGGTGATTTCTAGCAACTTAATGAGTGAGGAAGGACATAGAAAAAAAAGCATGACTAGCCAGGTGGCTTTCGGATCGAAATTGTAAATCGTGCTTTTATTCTATACTATGGAGATAGCACATTTCACAGGGCTGTTATTCCTTATTAAGAACAGCTATCCAAAATGAAACATCACTCCTTCACTCTACTACCTGCCATCCTTCCCTGCTACATCTGTATCTATTTAGCCTCCACATAAGTGGTTTTAAAAACCAGCCATAACTTTCTTGGACAATGCATTTAAAATGATGGATTGCAATAACAAATTTTATTATTAAAACAGAATAGTAAGTATCACATGGAATAAAGATAAGTATTGTATGTACTAGATCACACTATAAAATATAAATCAACATGGGTAATGGTTAAAAACAAAAGACCAAACACCACTGTGGGATAAATAGCACTATACGTAGAACTGTAAGAAAAGGTACATTCTAATTCCATGATATTGATGGTCCTATTAACTGACTTAAAACATTGGATTCAGCCAGTGTACATGAAAGGAGCTATAATATAGAAGTAATTCTCACTTGGGCAAAGTTTTTAATACCAAAAGACTGTGTTTTTTCCTCAAAAACTTTATTTTAGAGTGAGAACATGTCACTACTATTTTTAAATCCTGGTGCATTCAAGGCAAGGGGTCTTGGTACAGGATACAATCAAATCATGACACACTTAAGTGATTTTTATATTGAGTCACATACTTAATATAAAGGCACATTTTACTGAATAAAAAAATAAGTGTTAGGTTCTTGAGCTTTTAAATTAGAATTTAATAAAGTGCTTTCATAAAGTCTTATATATTATAGTAGTGAAGTGGATATAATTTCCTTAACAAAGGCACCTTATAAAGTATTGGCACATGGCATTTTGTGTTGTCCTTTTTTTTTTTCTTTTTGGTAATTTCAAAGTTTCTCCTCTTCCACTGTGTTTAAATTTTCCTTAACAACTCATCATCTGAATAGCCAGCCCTATTAGAGGAACTTGACATTTTAAAAGTCAAGTTTTAGGCAGTTTTAGGAGTTGAGCGATTTCCCTAGTGTGTAAACTGATTCTTAATGATTTAAAGACACATTCAAGTGGCAAATTTAGAGCCAATAGAATAATTGAGAGTCCATGATTTGAGGTGGTATTTCAAATACATGTTTTATCTTCAAGGTTTTCTGCTGTTTTCTCAGGACCATCTGCATATAAGTTGATAGCTGCCACAGGTATAACATGAACTTTATCCAACTGAAGAATTCCTCTGAAATACAAAAATTAAAATTAAGCATCCCTCTGGCTTTAGTTTGGTAGTAAGTTAGGGCTACTTCATGGTTATAATTAAATATATATTTGGGGTTCGATGCTTTGTTTCACTTTATCTAGTTTCTAACTCTGAGTCCAAAGTTCACTTTAAGCAAGCTAACTGAAGAATACAAAGGTCTAAGAGGAGGTTCCTTACTTGGTACCATAGGAAAGGAAAGGACAAGGTAAGAACAGATGTCCAAGGCTGAGAGAGCCCTAGATTTGCACAACTTGGGCAAAGAGAGTATGCCTAAGCAGCTTTCTAAACAGTACTCACCACTTGGATGCAGCCTTAGATCTTAAGATAGCATTTTTCCTGTTGCTACTAACATCCCTGACCAAAGAGGAGATCTTTCCATTAGATCCAAGACCCTGTATTGCAAGTCCAGTGTCATCCCAATCAAGCCATCAGCAGAAGTTCCTTTATAAACTGAACACGCTGACTGTAAGGTCCATGGGGAAAATGGCAAGAATTGCTGTAACATTTTTTAGGCAGAACAGTGGGGAGAAGAGATAGCTGCTCTAACCAGCTAGCAAAGATTTTGTTAAAACACTAATAATTAAAACTGTGCTACAGGCATAGGAATAGATAAAGAAGAGGGTCCGGAAACAAGATTAATGTGAATGGGAATTTTGTTCATAATAAGGTAACATTCCAAGTCAACGGGCAAGTTACTAATAGAACAATGGCCTCCTTTTTTGTAAAAGAGCTCTAGCTTAAATGATACACAAAAGTAATGGTAAAAAATAAGTTTTAAGAAAACATGTCATTTTAAGGTGGGAAAGGTCTACTTAGGAAAATTAAAAACCCTAGAAGCCATAAAGGAAAAACGAATTGCTCTGACCCCAAATTTGAAACTTCTGTATGATATAGGATATTGTAACACAAGAGCAAAAGACAAATCATTGTCTTGGATTAAAAAAAAAAAGTTATATTTCTGCAATACAAATTATGGATGTATTAACCGACATTAATGATGACAAAAGGCAATATAATTGAAAAATGGGCAAATGCAATAAATAGGCATGTCAGAGGAGGACTATATGTAGCCAATTATCACAAAGATGTTAGACTTAGCTACACTTAGACTAGCAAAGATGCTATTAAAAAGAAAATGCAAATTTAAATGAGATTATAGTTTTGACCACATGTAGCAAAAACAAGATTACAACCAGATGTTGAAGAGATGGTAAATATACATATACACTTTCACCCAGTAATTTCATTTTTAGGAATCTATCCATATAAACACACATGTACAAAGGGATATAAGTACATTTAAGGATATACACTACAGCATTATTGGAAATGAACATGAAATTACCTAAATGTCTAAGAAAGGAATGGTTACAGTATGGCTTGGTCACACTGTGGAACATGAAGACAGTGATAAGCCTATAAATGTGCCGATGGGAACAGCTCTCAAACCCATGGCTCCAAGCTGCCCTGAGACCCTGCACAGCACACTGAGAGGCACCACAGAATATCTTAAATTCTCAAAGACTTCATGTGTAGCAATAGCATGAGTGGATTTCATGGTTGCAACATTAGATTGCACTATACATCCCTTTCAATGAAGTCATAATATCTTTAAAAAGCCGCATTTTTGCCAGTTGTGATAAAAGCCAAATATTGTACAAAACCTAGAGTTGGATAGGAAATGAGGGTGGAAGTGTCCAATCTGATTCCAAGATATGAGGCCTGCCTAGGGCCCTACAGGTAGCACACATCCCACTAGTAGGTTAAGAATTAAAAATATTTTTTATTTCAATTTCTCTTCTGGCCTAGGTAGGGGCACCAGGAAAAAAATTACTAGCACACTAAGAGTGAGTACTATGAACCAAGAAAGTTTGTGAGCCTCTGTCATTAAGTGAATGGATCCATTTCTGAGAGAGTTAAAAGTCTAGATGAGAAACACGTAGAATGATCTACCACTAGTAGACATTTATATCAATACACAGTCTGGATAAAAGATGTGTAGCCTAACACCTTATGATTGCCCTCAGTATAAGAATTAAGGAACAGGGAAGGGAAGAGGTGCCTCCACTTAGGAGTGCTCTGCATTTCTGACCTGACGAAATCTTTCACTACCAAAACTTGTCCTCAGTACAATTACCACTGATAAGCACACTGAAAAGTTGATTTTTGATTTTGCATTGCATCTATTCCCAGAGAGAAGCCCATGACAAATGAAACATTTGGAAAAAGAACAATAAGAATATTTTACAACACCGTTTTCTATGCAGGTTTGCACAGTGAAGTTTAAAAGAAAAATTGAGCTTTTTGGCAGCCAAATGAAAAAGGAAGAAACTGTCAAGTTACAGAATTTTCATTACCAGAAAGAAATGAAAAATGTGATTTCTTCAGGGGAAACCCAAGCTTAAAAGGTGGAAGCGGCACTAATATTTCTTTACTCTGCTTGCATGATGACACTTATCTTTAAAACAACCAAAATGACTATTTAACTTGTAAAAATGCTAACAGAAAATTCATTTTTAAATTTATAAAATAATTTCTTATGATTTAAAAAATAAAGTTGTACACAAGGAGGAAAAGTGAGGTTGGCCTCTCTACCCCTGTTCTCATTACCACTCATTGGAGATAACATTTTCTTTGACATTTGAGAAACTTTCCATGCATTTATATACATATACACATAATACTTCTGTTTTACCCAAATGGGATCATACTGTTACGCAACTCCCTCCACCACCACCCCCCCTCCCGCCCCGCGCCTAAGAGATTCTGACATCTTTCCCTCTCAGCATATACACTTCTTTCTTTTACAAGTTGCACAGAATCCCAGGCATGTGTGCATTACTTAGTTAAGCTCCCGCTGATACTCAGTTCAGAGGTTTCCTCTTTTGCTTTTGTTTTCTGTTACAAGCAATGCTGCAGTAAATATCTTGCTTTCTTCCTAAAATTAACTTAATTTTAAATTATTTCTTTTTAAAAGGTTTTATTTATTTATTTTTAGAGAGAAGGGAAGGAAGGGAGAAAGAGAGGCTGAGAAGCATCAGTGTTGTCTCCCATGCGCCCCATACTGGGGACCTGGCCTGCAACCCTGGCACATGCCCTGAGTGGGAATCGAACCAGCAACCTTTCAGTTTGCAGGCTGGCACTCAATCCACTGAGCCACACCAGCCAGGGCTCATTTTAAATTATTACTTGGAGTTGAAAATACATAGTGAAGCCCTCTCATTTAGTTTCTCTCTTGTTATACACATTGCATTTTCCATTATAGATTTTTGTTTCCCTTCTCTATTGATTCAAGTTCTTAGAGTGCAGCTTGTCTTATTCACATTTGAATTCCCAAGATTAGTATCTTGATCATAATAGGCAATAAATGTCTTTTAATTTTTCTAAAGTTGGAAGATGGCCCAGAAAAGGGAGATGTTACAAGGGAGATTCTGCCCTCCAACTTGCCTTACCCTTCCTCATCTTTATATTTTCTTCTCTAAAATACAGAAATGGAGCCCAGAAATAAACCCATACCTATATGGTCAATTAATATTCGACAAAGGAGGCAAGAATATACAATGGGGTAAAGACAATCTCTTCAATAAGTGGTATTGGGAAAATTGGACAGAGATAAGCGAAAGAAAAAGAAAAAAGAAAAAAAGAAACTAGTCCACTTTCTTACATACAAGAATAAACTCAAAATGGATTAGACTTAATCCATTATAATACCTGAAACCATAAAACTCCTAGAAGAAAACTTAGGCAGTAAACTCTCTGACATCGCTCTTAGTAATTTTTCTGGGTACGTCTCCTTGAGCAAGGGAAGCAAAAGAAAAATAAACAGGACTACATCAAACTAAAGAGTGTTTGCATAGCAATGGAAGGCATCAACAAAATGAAAAGATAACCTACTGAATTGGAGGACATATTCACCAATGATACATCCAATACGGGGTTAATATTCAAAATACATAAAGTACTCATAGAACTTAACACACACACACATAAAACCCCAAACGCTGATTAAAAAATGGGGAAAGGACCTGAATAGATCCTCTTCTCCAAAGAGGACATAGAGATGGCCAATAGACATATGAAAAGATGCTCAATGTCACTAATCAGAGAAATGCAAAATGAGATTATCACCTCAATCTGTCAGGATGGCTACCATCAATAAGTCAACAGACAAGTATCGTGAAAGTTGTGGAGAAAAGGGAACCCTTGTGCACTGTTGGTGGGATTTCAAATTTGTTCAGCCACTATGGAAAACAGTATGGAGGTTCCTCAAAATATTAAAAATAGAACTTCCTTATGACCCAGCAATCCCATGTCTGCATATTTATCCAAAGAAATCCAAAACACTAATTCAAAAAGATATATGCACCTGTGTTCACTGTAACATTATTTACAGTAGCCAAGATATCAAAGCCACCAAAGTGTCCACTGATAGATGAGTGGATAAAGATGTGGGGTGTGTACACACACACACACGGGAATATTAGTCATAAAAAAAGAAATCTTATCCTTTGTGATAGCATGGATGGGCATAGAGGGTATTATACTCAGTGAAATAAGTCAACAGAGAAGAAATACTGTATGATTCCACTTATATGTGGAATCTAAAAAAAACAAACTCATAGACACAAAGATCAAAGTGATAGGTGCAAGATGGGAGGAGGTTGGGAGGATGGGAGAAAAAGGTGAAGGAATTAAAAAGTACAAATTGGGAGTTACAGGATAGTCACAGGGATGGAAAGTACAGCATAGGAAATACAGTCAATTATATTGTAATAACTATGTATGTGTCAGGTGGGTGCTAGACTTATCAGGGGGATCACCTTGTAAGTTATATAAATGTCTAACCACTACACTGTACACCTGAAACAAATACAGTTATCAGATGTCAAATGTCAACCGTAACTGAAAAACACAAAACTTTTTAAAGAGAAAAAAAACAACAAAAAACCAGTAAATACAACTTTTTAAGCACTAAAAATATGGCTTCAAGAGTTAAAAATACTTACTTGTTTTCACAAACTGGGAAAAGCACCTTTAAGATGGTTATTACCACAGCTGCTCCTATAACTCCAACCACCATGACATTAAAAAACATAAAGAATACTGGGAAAACACTGTTCCAGAACATACACAGATCTTTTCTGAACTTTTCCATCCATTGACACATGACCTAAAAAAATGAGTTTTGATTAGATATGCAAGTTTCATTTGAGCTCTAAGAAACTTTAAAAATTATATTCTAGCTTTGGAGTGATAATATTCTATACCTTTTTTTCCTAAACTCACCCAATTTGATTCATTTGTTTTACATTTTATTGATTTGTTTTTCAGAGAAAGAGGAGGGATGGGGGAGAGAGGGAGGCGGGGGGGAGAGAGACATCAATGTGAGAGAGAAATATCGAGAAGCTACCTCCCATATGCGCCCAAACCAGGATCAAACCCACAACCCAGGCATGTGCCCTGACCAGGAACTGCATCTGCATCCTTTGGCATACGGGATAACACTCCAACCAACTGAGCCACCCGCCAGCGCAATAGCCTACCTCTTGCCTGTGGTAGCGGTTACATGGGTGTGTACACTTGTCAAAACTTACCTAACTGTTCATTTTAATGAGTGCATTTTATTTTAAAATGTATCTCAATAGAGGTATTTACAATTTTAATAATTATGTTCTAATAACACAGGCAAAGAAATACTACTCTCCTTTACAATTATTTATAATGTTGTCTAACTATAAACCAAGTGAAAGTAACTGCGAATTGACAAGTAGGCTAGTCTACTTTACATAAATTGGCGTAGAGTCAACTACGTGTTTCCAATACTTAGAGGACAAGAAAAGGAAAGAAGGTCCTAGTATTAGCTCTAGGAACACACCAGGAATTTGTTGTATGCAAAACATGTTTTTTTTTTAATCTTTATTGTGTTTTTTCCATTACTACTTAGTCCCCTTCTACGCGCCCCCTCAGGAATCTCCACAATGTCCGTGTCCATGGGTCCTTTTGCCTTTTTGCTCAGTCCCCCCACCCACCCCCGCCAACCCCTGCCCACCAGCTGTCATCCTGCTCTCCAGCCACAGGTGGTAATGAGTCTGTCCCCATTTTCCTTGTCAGTTCAGTTTGTTCATTAGATTCCACATATGAGTGAAATTATATGGTATTTGTCTTTCTCTGACTGGCTTGTTTCACTCAGCATAATGTTCTTAAAGACTGAAAGAAGAAACTAAGGCAGCACTGATGGCCTGGGCTCAGAAGGCAGTCTGTCCTCGGCTGTCTTGCTCGGAGGGAAGTGAGGTAGGTGGGGTGCGGGGGTGAGAGTTCAGGCAGCAAAAAGCGACCTGGGTTTCTCCAGCAACCCAGACAGGCACTGTGAAGCTTCAGTGGGAACTTCTTCCAGGAATCACCCCTGGATCCTGAGGGTAACCACAGGCCCTGCTCATTTAAATGGAAATTATTTTGAGGGAAGGGCCTACTTCATATATGCAGAGATATGAGGATACTCTCTGAACCCTAAGTATTTCCCAATCAGCAGCATAATGTCATTCATAGCATGTGAGTATTTAGTAGGTGCCAATGCATATTTACATTTGTACCCATTTATTCGTCCTTACCAAAAACTGCATCCAATAGGCACTTTATAGACTAAGTGGGTGTCCCATTTCACAGGTAAAAAAAAACAGAGACTAGGAACTTGTCCCGGGTCACACAACTAGTAAGTGGCAGGCAGAACCAGAATTCAAACGTAGGCAGTCTGATTCCAGAAAGTTCCCTCTTACCCAACACTCTTAGTCACTGTACAAGATTCTGAGGGTGCCATGCATGTGTGCATGCATACAAGGCACAGTCATAAACAAATGGGGATGTGAGAAAGACTTAGCAACTGAAAAATCCCAGACAAAATGAAATCCAGTGCTTTGACAATCATTATCTGACTATATTATTATTAAATTAAACTTGAAAAAGAAAAACCAAAATACCTAAAAAATAGCACATTAAAAGTCATGAATTCATTGTTAACAACTTCCCATTGTTCCAGTCCACATGGTTTCCATGTCATTTTAAATGCTAGTTATCTCTTTTCTTTTCTTAATAACCATAAACATTTATAATACAAAGGTAATCCAAAATACCTAATTTACCTTATATGAAGATGGAGTCTCTGCTCTGAGAGGAGTTTCAGGTAATTTGCCAGGTAAAGCGTCCTCATCGACGGTGGTTTCCACATTCCTGATAAGATACTGGCTGGTGGTCTGTAGTGAACTAACACTTTCCACTGAGGAGGAAGAGACAAGTTACCAAAATGCTGGGCGCCTGCTGGTGTCTCTCCTACCAGCCCTAAGATTGCTATACCAATAACACTTAGGATAGCAAGAACATAAATCTTTCCATGGGAGAAACACATATTTGATTATTCAGATTTAAATGCCAGAGAGGAGCCATAAACTAAGACCGCTAAAAGGAAACTTCAGCAGTTATGATTCCTTCACATAGAAAGTCAAATTTTTAAAAGTTGTGTGTCACTGGAGAAAAGACAAATACTTATTTTTAAATGACCCTAAATGAATGATGTTCCTATTACATATTTTATGATGGTTACCCGGAGTAAAAGTAGATAATTACAGCACCATGTCCCCATGCAATCAGCATTGATAATATTCTATTAAGGCTTAAAATAGATTCCCGAAGTTCTCAAATGGATATATAAAGCATACATGTTATAGAGTATTTTTGAAAGAAGCTTATTCCAAACATATTAACTAAGATTAAAAAGCTACCAACTAAAGAAATAATTTCCTTAATACTTTAAAAAATGGTCTTTTAAAGTACCTTTTTTGGAGAGGTTGGGAAGAGTAAATAAAATGTCATTATCTCGGGAAATGGAGTACAGCATGCTTTTTTCCAAAGGTAGCGTGTAGTGTGAATGTCTTAGTATTCCCTGGTTCTTAACTAAAATATCCACTTCAGTGACATCCTTTTGTTGAGCCTATAAAAACAATTATTTTAAATAATGGTACAACACCGTAAGAATTTCAAACTGACATTTCCCCCATGATTTCTGTAACTAAAAACCTGCCATGTTCACTCCATTCCTTTTTATTTGCCCCCCACTCTGAAGCACTTAATTTGCAACTTCAGTGGAACTCCCGCCGCTGCGGCCGCCGCGGCACTCGCTGTCAGAGCTCGCGCTCAGCTCCGTTTCATTTACTGAGACTCAGCCAGAGGAACTGGCAGCAGAGCTGGGCACCAAACTCAATCTCTTGGCTTACTTGGTCTGTTTAATGACGTTTGTAACAGTTTTACAGCGATATAAACATGTATGAATATGGTCATTTAAAAAATTAAGACTTCAAATGCTAAATAAATGCTAAAACAAATAAAATATTCTAAATGATTAGATACAGGCAACATTAGGGTACCTTTCCTCCTATGAAGTCAGAAATAAAATAATTGAACACATGCATAATAACTAGCACAAATCTTTACAATTTAATTCCCAATTAATAAGCATATTATCTTACTTGTTTTCCATCAATCTCTACTACCTCTTCTTGAATGACAATTAGTTGCAAACTGGAACCAGATGTCATAGGCCACTCACGAACTAAAATTCTTACACTGACAATTCCAAAATATTCTTTTTCCTTCAAATTTTCTAGATTTTCATTCTTCACTATATATAAAAAAAGAAGTAGTGACAGCTTTGAACAAAAAAATGCCACCAAATCTGAATTTGATTAATTTGATGACATTTACATGGAACAAGACAGTTGTAAACTAGTTTCTTAGGCTCTCTTCATCTCTGACCTCATTGATAGTTCAGAGTTATGAAAACAAAGACAACTGAAATCATTACAATGCTTACAGTCATTTGAAAAGGGGAAATTGCTTGATGGTCTTTAGATTTTGTATGAAACACCACAATAGCAAATCCTTCCTAACCAATATGGCGTAACTACAAAGCAGGTCAAAAGACACAGGCTATGCCATGCTTTAGCAAAGCAAGCACAGTCATTCACAAAATCCAGTGTTAGGGCCCAAACAATAAGGACAGTGAGTTTTTTGCTTGATCTTTTCCCAAGTAAGTGATCTGTTAGAGTTGGAGGGCAGGAATGGCGAAGAAAGCGGGAAAGCCCTGTGTCACTCCCTACTAATGAAAGACCAGGCAGGATTAGCCACCAGCCACATCACTCTCTAGCTCCGAGTCCCCATCCGGCCCCAGTGCACAAGAGGTGTGGCAGTTGCAACTGGTTTACAGAGCTCATGGCTACCTTTTTAAGGCAGAAACTGCTACAGAAAAGGAAACATCAACAGATATCAATGAAACCGAAGCAAGGGAACATTTTCATTTCTGCCCCTCAAATTATTTGCCAAAAGGCAACCCAGATGATTTTCTGAATGCAGACCCAGTGGTTTAAACTGATTCTGTGCCTTTTTAGGGCTATTCCCTTTATCTGGAATGCTCTCTACTACTCATTCTCCCCCAAACACATTTTAAAAATAAACTCCAACTTAGGCTGTTCTAGCTACCTACAATGCTGAGTCCGTGCTTTTTCTGATTTTTAAAGCACTAAGCTCTTCTCTTATAAGCCTGCCTCTTCCACTAGTCTGAGTTCCTTGGGAGTGTGTATCAAGCTTATAGTTCTATAGCTTTTGTTATACAGTGACTCCATCTGCAATTATAAATACATAATTTAAAGTAAATAGCAATGTTCAAACACTTTGTCTAGTTCTAAATTCTAACTACACATCAGAAACGCGTGGGAACAGTAAAGATGCCACAGCCTCACCCCCATCTTAATAAATCAAAATCTCTAGAGGGTATAGACCAACTTTTGTAATGTTTTTAAAAGAGGTACAGACATTTCTATTGAGAACCAAGTAACCTGGCCTTTTAGCTTAATTTAAGTCTTCATAAAACTGTGCCTTCCTTGACTTCGCTGTTTCATTTGTTGAAAAGATAATAGTCCAAAACTTCCCCAAACCGATAAAAGACATGAAGTCACAGATTAAAGAACCCCACACCTGGGCACATCACAGTAAGTAAAACTACTGAAAAGTCAAAAATAAAGAAAAAAAATCTTAAAAGCAACCAGAAAAAAAAAAAAAAGAAAAAGAGAAGTAATATTATTCTCAGTGGCGCAACGACACTGACACTGATTCTCAACAGAAACTACAGAAGTGACAAGACAATGGAAATTTGCCTTTGATGTGCTAAACCATGCTTCCACATCCTGGAAAAATATCCTCCTAAAAGGAAGGCAAAGATGTTTTCAGACAAACAAAAGCTTAGATATTTCATTGCTAACAAGTCTATGCTACAAAAACACAGTAAGGGGAATTCTTTAGGCAAAGGGAAAAAGACCCCAGAGGGGAACACAGATTCAGGAAGGAATGCAGGGCAACGGAAGGGTAACCATGAGGATGAACGTGAACAAATACTGGGCTACAGAAAACAGCGAGAGTAATGACCCTGTATAGTGCTTAAGGGCACACAGAGGTAAAATGCATGGCAATTTTAACACCACAGAAGCAGAAAGGGAATAAATGGAGTTTAAGTGTTCTAAGGCTCTTGCATTGTTTAGAAGATGATAAAAGTGTCAGTTTATTGATCTCAAGGGTAACTATTAAAAGAACAATAAAATATTATTAAAAAAATAAGATAAAGGAGAATGATGAAAAAACCCAAAGGACTTGGAAATTAAACATGCTACTTCGAAATGACTCATAAAACAAGAAAATGTCACAACGAATAATTAGAAAATACTACAAACTGAATAATAAAATTTATAACAAGTATAGGCTATAAGTGCTTAAAGAAAAATTTAGTGCCTTAAATGCATACATTAAAACAAATGCTATACATTTCTTATATTCTTTATTTCATTCATATAATATAGTAATTCTAATGTAACAAATTAGCTTGTCTTTAAACAACACAAGATTTTAAAAGGTTAAAAAAAAATGTTAAGCAGGCATAGGAGTAGAAGAAAGTAAAAACCAGAGAATCAGACAAACAATTCATTTTTTTCTTTTTCACAACTGTGTAAAGCACTTCCCCAGGATTCTACCTCTTACTTGTAAACCTCCCTTTACTACCGCTGTGCACATTCTCACATGCTATCAACCTGCTACAAATACAGTTCCATCAATGCAGATCTCATGAAAGAAAAAAATGTGAGTATGCCAGAAACAACCAAAGTGCACTGGCAACAGTGTTAAATGCATTAGTAATTATGTATATAGTAATTTAAGATGAAAATATAGAACTGTGTTTTACTAATTTAGTATTATTAAAAATAGCAAAATCATGGAAATAATTTAGTAGTACTCACCTATCAAAGTCTGACAGCTTATTCGGGTTACACCATTATTTACAGGGAAATCATTCACATATACCTGTCCACTCTCATAGGTTATGTTAAGAACAACCTTAAAATAAAGCAGCATACACATTATGGTTATAAATGACAACTCTACATATCAAAAATATGTACATTATCTAACTAAATTGGATGTGCAGGTAAAAAGAAAATAGGCTGCATAATACTTAGCTAAGTGATATATTAAAAACAATCAAAGAAGACAAACCTGTTCTTTAGATACCTCTCCATCATCTTTCAGGGTAGTTATATTAATTCTGATGCTTTCCTGCAAAACAAATATTATATAAATTAAATAGGTATGTATTTCACAAACTGGAAATAACTCAAGTTCTTTCCCCCCCTCAATTATATTTATGGTATAATCACTTATGATAACATTATGCTCACCACCCCAGGTGAAATCTCCTTCCATCACCACGTACCCCGCCTTTACTCTTCTACCTTCCCCCACTCCCATTTCTCTCTGGTAATCACCATACTGTTGTCTCTATGAGGGTGCTTTTTGTTTGTTTGTTTTGCTTAATCCCTTCACCAATTTCACCTAGTCCCCCCCCAGCCTCCCTCTGACAGCTGTCAGACTGTTCTGTGTCTATGAGCCTGTGTTTTGTTCAGGGCTTGCATTGTGCGGCTTCTTGGAATGCCCCTGCATAGATGAAACTGAGATATGCTTGTTTTTGTACTCGGGGAGTAATGTCATAGCTCTAAAACATTAATTGAAAGTAAAACAGTGACATTCATAGTGTCAGTCGTGTTCAAGTCTTGACTAGTAAGAAAAGGTGTACCCTATATCGTTTCTTTCCATTCTGGGAAAACTTTTCCCTACCATGCATTTAACTGATAAAAGGAAAATATATTGGTTTAGGTCAGCACGACTCTAGGGCAAAAAAGCTAGTAGGAACTAAACGCCCTTTTACAAGGATACAGTGGTCTCACCCTTTGGCTGACCTCAGAATCACCTACTGAAACAGATTCCTGGGCCCCACCCGAACAACGTCGGGGGAGGCTGGTGTGGCTGGTCCCATCATGCTCCAAGAGGCACTACTCTCACATCACCTGACAGAGGGACGTGTCAGGTTAAGTGCCGGGTCTTCACTCTCCGTTCGTCGCCCCATCGACCTGGCGTGCCCCCCCCCCCCCCCCCGCCCCGGAGCCCTGCACGCCGCAGGAAGACAACCCTTTCCGCCGCCGGCGGGGGCGGACAGTTGCCTGGAATCGCTCTGGCGCTGTCTTATTGAGCAACTTCCACATTTCCCGAGCCCAGGAACACTGCCTTGCCCCCGAGTCAGGCTCTACCCACGGAGGAACCATTGCCAAGGCTGAGTTAACTTGTGATCGCGTATTTTCGACGGCGAAACTCCACAGGAATGGCAACAGTTGGAACTGCGTAAAAACCTAAGTTTCGCGTCGCGAGGCTTAACCACACATTCAAGAGCCCCGTGAGCCTTCTCGTTACCCCTACTACACCCCCACTTCCTTCGGTGCTTTCTCCTACTCCTCGTTTGGCGGTCCGGACCCCAGCCCAGGGCCTGCCAAGCAGAGGTGGAGTAAGTCGATGTCGTCGCGGAGGTCCCACGGCCCTGCCCTCCCAAGAGGGTCCGGACGAAGGATCGGCCGAGCCGCGCCCGCCCTGCTCTACCTGCGGGGCTCCGGGAGGTGGCGACTCAGGAGTCCCCATCTTCGGCCACCCTGTGGCGGGCAGCGCTGCGAGCAAGAGCAGACGGAGGGCGAACGGCGTTAGCCGAGCGCCCTCCATTTTGGACTGGCCAGCGTTGGCTGGAGGCGGAGCAAGACGGGCTGGGCCTGTTGAGGGGCAGGACCAGGATGGGGCGGAGCCGCTAGGGGCGGGGCCTAACAGACACAGGGGCGAGGGAGAGGCGGGCCTCGGTAGGCGTGGAAGGAGCCGAAGCCAGGAGCTGGGGAAAAGTGGACCCAGCGGGCGGGTCTCGCGTAGTGCTGAGGGGCGGAGTCAAGTCATAAAGGGACCGATTAGATCGGCGCTCTGGGTTGGAGGCTTTCCCCCCCCTGAACGATTGTAGGCATTTTCATTGCCATTACTTTAAAATTAGTAGTACACTGTATATGCACATAGCTCTATGTGTGTGTATACATTTACCCCTGCAGGGGTGTCCAACTGGCCCACGCAGGCTGCATGTGGGCCCAGGAAGGCTATGAATGTGGCCCAACACAAAATTGTAAATTTACTTAAAATCTTTTTTTTTTTACTCATCAGTTTTTATTAGTGTTTGTGTATTTAATGTGTGGCCCACGACAACCCTTCTTCCCGTGTGGCCTAGAGACGCCAAAAGGTTGGACACCCCCCCAAAGTCAAAATATTAACAGTAAATATATCAGAACACTAGCCATAACTGGTGTGCCTCAGTTGGTTGGGCGCTGTTGGGTAAAGCAAAAAGGTCGCTGGTTCCATTCCTGGTCAGGGCACATGCCTAGTTGCAGTTCCTCTAAGTCAGGGTACATGCAAAAGGCAACCGGTTGATGTTTCCCTCTCACATGGATGTTTCCCACCCTCTCTCTCTCCCTTCTTCTCTTTGTAAAAATAAATAAAATCTTTTTAAGAAAAGAACATCATTACACACTAAAAAGAAGACATACCACATTTAGAGAGGACATTTTATTAAGTCAGTAGTTGTCACCCTTAGCTATACATGGGAATTGTCTGGGCAGCTTTAAAAATTACTGACTTGGGTTTTTTGGGAACTGGCTTTCTGACTTTCTGAGTCTGGGCTGCCGTTCTGCCATTGGTAGTTTTAAAGTTCCCCAAGTGATGTATTCCTGTGCCAAGGCTGAGGGTCAACCATGCATTAAATGTTCAACAGCAGGCAAATCACTAGAGGCGGCTTGGGAACAACACTCAACTGGAAGCCTGCCCACCTGTGCTTTTGGGGCTTTTCTGGTCAGTTTCTTAATCTATAAAATGAAAATGATATACTTTTTTCCTCCTTTAGTCTTGTTTTTAAAAATAAAACTTTTTATTTGAAAAAGAGCACAAATCTCTGGTTCTGCCTTAGCCCCTCTCCCATGTATCAACCCCTTTGTCCTTGTTTATAAAATCTAGAGTAAACTACAAAATCTTTGTAGGGTAAACTACAAAATCATTTAACTCCTTGCTACTATAAGAAACCCAACAATATTGTTAATTTGCAAACTTCATCTACTCTTGGGTTCCAACTGCAACCACTGGCCTATTCACTCTGTTTCATGTGGCTGTGATTAAAAATGAACCCAGGCTCTGGCCAGGTAGCTCAATTGGTTAGAGCATCCTCCCAATATACCAAGATAATGGGTTCCAACCCCTATCAGGGCACATACAAGAATCAAGAAATGAATGCCTAAGTAAGTAGAACAACAAACTGATGTTTCTCTCTTCCTCTGCCTTCCTCTCTCTCTCTTAAATAAAAACCCAAACAAACCTAGAGGTCAGAACATGTAACACATGTGGATCTGTATAATGTGAATTAGTGATATATGTATAAGATTCCAAAGTACACTTATATGAAAAAGTAGGTGGGATGGTAAGGTAGTCTGCATTTCACAGGGTCCTCCCCACAGTCTAACCATCTATTATTCTTTCAATTCTCTATCTCCTTAGCTCGCTCTGAGGGCAGTGGCCAAAGGTTAAAATATGAAGCCTGTTTGAGCAGGGATTTGTTGGGTAAATAAAGTCTAAGTAGTTGACATAATTTGCTTATGAACAGTTTTACTATTTTGTATGACATGGTTCTCTTTAGGCCACCGTTTTGCTATATACAGGCATGATTACCATGGGATTTCTACTTAAAACGTCCCATCATTTGCAACAAATACTGTTACCTACCACAACTCTGATGAGTTCAGACAAACAATCTTGGTATAGGGTGGAAGACAGCTTGGTACACTAAACCTTCACATTAATCTGTAAAACAAAAAAACAAAACAAAACAAAACAAAACAAAACAACGAAACCCAGAATTAATTGGCAAATAAATCTTCCATCATTATGGTATGAACTTTTTCTTTTTTTCTTTTTTAATTTTTTTATATCTATTGATTTTAGAGAGAGAGGAAGGGAGAGAGGGAAGGAGGGGAAGAGAGAAACATCGATTGGTTGCCCCTGCCCCCAAGGTGCCCCAACCAAACCCCTGCAACTTTTCCATGTATGGACAGCGCTCCAACCAAATAAGCCACACTGACTAGGGCATGGTCTTTGTTCTTTTGAGTCAATTCATATCAACTTGATTTCTTTAATTATTACACCCATCCAAAATAGTTCAATATGCCTGTAGAAATCAGATGTATTTCCATACACATTAGATGCTTTATGTTCCTTGAAGATAATCTTTCATATAGAAGATATTAAAAAATTTTAATACCATGGAAAACAAAGTATACAAGATATATAAAAACACATCTTTATTTTCACATGAAATGGTACTGTTTGACTCTAAACTTTGATATATTTCCTTTTTCAGCAACTGATTTCATTATTAATTACATAGTCTCACAGCCAAACCTTAAATTTCTTTTTCTACAATTCAAAGGCAGGCTTGACACCAAAGGGAAATCTGAGATATAGTCTGTATCTGTTTTCAATTTCTGGGAAATAGTGAGTCACAGCCTATTCCAATATTTTCCAAAAATTCTCAACTACATATTTCTGGACTTCCTGAAGATTTCTTGAAAACAAAAGGGAGAGCAAGAAAGAAAGATACGCTTTTTACAATTCCAAAATTCACAAATTTTACCTTATTTTTCTTCTAAGATAATTTAAAACTGCTTTTACTGTAACCTTTATGTCCATGCATTTAGATAGGAAATTCATTATACCTGTGATGATGAGTCATGCTTCTGGTATGAGGAACAATTAACACATAGAAATATCATCATTGCAGCAGCCAACATTTATTGTGCTAAGCGCATTGAGTGCTTTTTGTATACTACCTAAACCTTACAGCAATTTAATGACATGGTTATAATTTACAATTCCACTTTTTATGTAAAAATACAGATTTAGAGAGTGCAAGCTTTTTCCACGGAGTTACAGGACAGGAGGTGATACAGCCATGGTTTTTAACACTGACATTCTCAACGAACACATTCTAGTGGGTCATAATAAAGGTAAAAATAAAAGAAAAAGAAAAAGTCATCATTTAGTCTGTTTTTATAAAGCGCTACAAAATGTTCCATTTATTGACTTTCTAAAAACACAAGCTGGGCTGAGAAAAATGGAGAAATGGAGAAGTGTAGGAGATCTTTGCCTCCTTCTTCACCACAGCTGGAGCCAGAGGGGCCCCAGAGCAGAGGCAGCCCCTGTCCCCGGCCTCCCCAGCTAATTAGTTCCAGCAACCTGAAGGCTGAAAGCACGAAGAGACATCTGTACCCAAGGATGTTAAAAAACATACTGTTCATTAGTGTCTGAGAAAAATGCAAAAAATAAAGTGCTAATAAGAAATAGTATGTAAATAAAATGACAGGAATTTAGGAAATAATTGTCAGAATTTTAAAGTTCTGAGATTTTGCCCTACTTTTAAATGAACAGGTTAGCTTGCTAGTTTCATGGATGCTGGTGGAAGACAGGAGACGCCAGCCCGGGTCAGAGACAAACAATAATTTACCTCTCACAGTACAAGCTGCATAAGCACCAGGAAATTTGCATCATTTCTACAGTCAGATATGAAGTTATTGGAGGTTATAAGTACGTGAAAAATGACAAAGAATGATCAGCTTGTCCACGAAAGTTTTGGTAATAAGCTTTGCACAGAAAGTCTCAACGGAGGACAAAAGTAGTTTGTAAGTCTTCTAAGTTAAAGAGTATTGATGAAACCAGCAGAGATTTGGGGCCGAAATCTACCTTTTTCAGCACTAACGACCCACCATCTGCTGCTGTAACAGATATAGTCTCTGCCATAGGTACGATTAGACAGGAAAGAACTCCCTGTCAACCATCTTTCTAGATAGAAAATTTCACGTTTTCGGACCAAAGTTTTTGGCTCAAGGAGACAACTTATAGTGAAATCACTAGTCCGAACAAGAACGTGGGAGTAGTTGGCACCGCGGTCGCCCTCGCTACCACAGAGGCGGTCTGAGAAGCGTGAAAAATAGGGCCGTTCGGAGGCCCGCCCCATTCTTGAGATGGGCATAAACAGGGGACAGAATCCTTTACAGAGTACTTTTTTTTTAAAAAGAGATTTCATTTATTTATTTTTAGAAAGAGGTGAAGAGAGGCAACCACACGCTGGTTGTCATGCGCCCCCTACTGGGGACCTGGCCGACAACCCAGACATTTGCTGGGCCTGGGAATCGAAACCGCGTCCTCTTAAGACACCTCGTAGCACTCAGTCCACTGAGCCACAACTTGCCCGGCAAACAGGACACTTTTAAAAGACCGTACCCGCACCACCTGCTCCGCGCGTATCAAGATTTTCAAAAAATCCGCGCCGGAGGCGGGGCCCATGGGAAACCGCACGACAGCGACCAATGGGGCCTTACCGTGCGGCCCGGAAACAAGCGAAGTCGCCGAAGGGATGACGTAATAAAGCGTCTTCCTTCGGTGACGCGCGGCGTGGTCGACGGCGGATTGCGCCTGTCAACCCCGGCGTTTGCTCCTCGAGAAGGCGGAGCAGACGCCATGGCGGTTCTGCTGGAGACCACTCTGGGCGACGTCGTCATCGACTTGTACACCGAGGAGCGGCCGCGCGGTGAGGCCCGTCCCGCCCACCTCTTGCCCGAGGGGTGATCTCTTTTCTCCACTGTCCCTTCGCTGCCCAGCCCCCGACGTCGACTGGTTCGAGTGTCTGGGCTGCGGGTGCCCTCGACCCGGCGCCTAAGAGCGGGCCTTGGTTAGGAAAGTTTTTGTGACGAGCAGCCCTTCCCCGGGTCTGGTGCCGGCCAATCGGGTGGCGGGGGCTTGTGGTCTTTAAATGCGTGTGCATGTTATGCGTGGCAGCATATACAATGCTCTCAAAGCTTTGGTGGCTTTAGTGCGCTTTCCTGGCGCCAAAGGACGCAACCAGTATTCCTTGGTGTGTAGTGAGTAAGTCTCGGTGAAAACAGGGAGGGTGTGCTTTGGTCTGTGAGTGTGGGCGTCTCGCCTGCTTGGAGGGCTCCTTGGGAGTGTTCACGGAACTTGGGCAAACACTCAGCGATCGTCTACTATACAAGACTTTGCCAAGCTGTGGGATAGGCACCTTGCCCTTGGGGATGTAATTCGCTATTGAGAGAAATCTCTGCTGGAACCCATTTAACTTTTTAAGGGCCGTAATAAGAAGAATGTCTAAGTTGCTATGGAAACCAGAGGAGGGAGTAATTCTTCCTGGTTGGGGGCGGGGAGAAGTGGAGCAAGCAAAGAATGCAGAACCCTTGAACGAGTTCGAGCTCTTTCAAGAATGAGTGGACATGAGGGTTTCCTTTGAGTTCGCTTGGAATTTTCTGGAAACAGCAAGGAGTTTGACGTGGTTTGAAGGAATGGTATGTGACAGGGAATGGCAGCTGCGAGTCTGGTGTGTACGTTGTTAGGTCGTGAATAGTCTTGTGTGCCCCGCAGATGACCAGAGTTTTTGAAGGTTTTAAAGAAACAGCATTGAGGCGTGGCGCACAAGTTTTAGGAAGAAATAGGCAGCACTGTGGAGATTATAGCAGAATAGGAACAATCTGGAGGCCAAGAGAGATTAGTTACAATCAGGGTCCTGCCCCCATGAAATGCAGAGTCTGCTCACGCGGATGAAGCAAGCCACAGTGGTGTGCGAGTGCCTCCTACTACACACCCCTCCCTCGTCCCCACCACTAAATACTCAGCCATATACCCGTGCCTTTCTCATACTCTTGCCTGTTCCCCACATTTCCCTCCACTGTTGTCCTTTGGCAGACTTCTTGCCTATTCAGATCACAGGTCAAGCATGATATCTCTCCTCTGTCTCTCCGTTATCCCTAAGCAGAGTTAGAGCTGTTTCTTCTGCTCTGTCTCAGATCTTTTGTAAATCACACAACACATATTTTGTTGAAACATTGATCTGTTGTCCTGGAATTATTTGTAAGTCTTGTCTCCTCTCAAGAATATAAATTCCAAGAGAGCCTGTGCCTTAATAATGTCACTGTATCCTGAGCACCTGGCACAATGCCGGGCACCTTGGAGGGCACACATTGAAGGTTCATCTTATTGACTAATCCCTATTTATATACGTTGTATTTGGACATTTTGTGCAAGATAGAAACTCAGCTTAAACTGGCTGAAAGAAAACAATTGATTGTCTCATGTTAGTGGGGTAAGCTTGGCTGGAAGGATGGCGGGATCCAGAGGTTCAAAGGATGTAATAGGGACTTGTATTTTTCATCTGTTGGCTTTGCTTTCCTTTAGTTTGTTTGCCACTCATTACATGGAGCAGCACCTGACAAATGAGTGGGCCTGTTTTCCCAGAGCTGTGAGGAACTAAAAGGGAAATAGGGTTACCCCAGCTAATTACACAGATGGAATGGACAAGCATGGGTTCTGCACAGTTACCTTGGAACACTAGAAACATAAGCCCACCCTGTGTGTATGTGTTTGTAAGCATGTGCTTGGCTGTCTACTTACATGTCTAACCACTTACCAATCCATAGGAAACATATCCAGGCTTGTTTTCCTTCCCCTTTCCCTCCCACTCTTCCTTCCTTTTTTTACTTATAGAAAACTTGAGACATGTATGGAAGTAGAATCATGTAAATGAACTCTCTTGTGCCAATGATCAACTTCATTTAATAGCGCTCAATACATAACTAATATTGTCTCATTTATATCCCCACCTCCACTGGATTTTTTGTAATAAATCTTTACCATGGAATTTATTTAATCTGTAATTACATCAACTTGTATCTTAAAAGATACTTTAAAAAAAGACTGCAAACCACAAATTATCATCACATCTGAAAAAATCAGCAAATTTCCTCAGTATAATTCGCATTTTCCTAATGTCTTGTAAACATTTAAAAAGTATTTGGACACGTAAATTAGGATTCAGACAAGGGCCATATATTATATTGGTTGATATATCTCTTAAATCTCTTAATCTATAGGTTCCCCCCTCCCTTTTTAAAAATAAAGACTTTACTTTTTTGAGCAGTTTAAGGTTTTTAGCAAAACTAAGGGGAAGATAGAGATTCCCCCATATGCCACTGCCCACAAACAGGTGCAGCACCCACTCATTGTCACTATTCTCCCCCTGAGTTCTGCATCTTTTGTACTTTTTTTTTAAATTTTATTTTAATTTATTTTTTCAAATACATTTGTCTCTGCCTCCCCCCACCACTTCTTTTGTACTTTTATCTGTGGTATTTGTACCAGGTGAGACTATATTGATACATGTTGTATATTTGCTATTCTCTGCCAATCTAGTTCTTTTAAAAGCGTCCAGGAGGTCTTCTCATTTCTCCAGTCAGAAACAATCTCTTTTGAACTCTTGTGGCATTTTTTAACCCATATTTTACCATTTTACTAGTCGAGTGGCAGAAATGGTATTTTCAGATATGGCCAATTTTGTGACCAGTTTTTCTTTTTTTTCTCTTGTAAAATCAGTAAGTCAGCCCTGGCTGGTGTGGCTCAGTGGACTGAGTGCTGGCCTGCAAACCTAAAGGTCGCCAGTTCAATTCCCAGTCAGGGCACATGCCTGAGTTGCTGGCCAGGTCCCCAGTTGGGGGCACACGAGAGGCAGCCCCCAACTTGATGTATGTCTTGCACATTGGTGTTTCTCTCCCTTTCTTTCTCCCTTCCCCTCTCTCTAAAAGTAAATAAATAAAATCTTAAAAAATAAATCAATAAATGATTGCTTATCTCAGATAACTGTCAGTTTCCTCCATTAGCTCAGATGGCTGAGAATTCCGAAGAAGAAGAGCATTAAGAGATAATTTAAAATATATTGCTCTTTTTTAGGCTCACTACCTTTTTATGGTTTTAGACTCTTGACCACTTTGGAGAGGCTTTGTATGGTAATTCAGAAATTACATTATACTAACTGTGCTTTTTACCTGCTTAAAAATGTATTTGTGAACTACTGCAATAAATTTATTATTTATTGTCTTTCAGCTTGCTTGAACTTCCTGAAGCTATGCAAAATAAAATATTACAATTATTGCCTTATTCACAATGTACAGGTGAGTTGATGGCTATTTGTAACAATGTCCTTTGTTACTGGAACCATCTAGTAAATTCTGTGAATTGATAAAGTATCCCATGTATTATAGAGGGATTTTATCATACAAACTGGTGATCCTACAGGGACTGGCCGTGGAGGAGAATCTGTTTTTGGGTAAGTTCTTTTATTTTTAAATGAGTAAAAATAGAATTGCCTCTTTACAGTGTTAACTAGCATATTTCAACCTACATTTTTTCTTTTTAAATCTTCACCCAAAGATATGTTTTTTATTGATTTTAGAGAGAGAGGAGGGGTTGGGGAGAGAGACAGGCAGACAAACATAGGTTGCCACCCCTGTCAAACCTGCAACCTAGGTATGTGCCTGGCCGGGAATCAAACCTTTCACCTCTTCAGGTGTACAGAACATTGCTCCAGCCAGCTTAGCCACCTGGCCAGGGCTCAATCTACATTTTAAAATGTTCTGATTTGATTTTTTCCAAGTTCCTTAGATGTCTGTAGCATAATAGAGGACTATTTTGAATCATACTGGTATTTCTATAGAGAAATGGTGACCCTGTATGTTACTAGTACTTAATGTATTTCATGTTGAGAATACTTATATTTTATTACCTTATTGTATATATTTTCAGTCAACTGTATGGTGATCAAGCAAGGTTTTTCGATGCAGAAAAAGTGCCAAGAATTAAGCACAAGAAGAAAGGCACTGTGTCCATGGTGAACAATGGCAGTGATCAGCATGGATCTCAGGTTAGGAAGTGGGTGAGAAGATGAGTTTTGCTTTAAAATGAAGGACTGGAATGATCCCACAAAGTTATATTTTAAAATTATCCAGTGAGGGGAAATTTTCAATTAAAGATTTTTTTTTTAGAAGAAAAAAAATATACTCTTGTTTCAATATAATAAAAATTATATGACATCACAAAAAAAGAAAAAAATTATTTTGTTCTCTTAAATGTAAAACATGTCCATTGTGAGGAATTTAGAAAACACTGAAAAGTACAAGGAAGAAAATCACCTTACCCCCAGTTCCTCCATTCATAAATCATCACTGTTCACATTGTGCCCCTTTTCCTTTTTGTACTTATTACTTATTTCAAAACAGGCCACTTTGAACACTTTTCATTCATTGTCTTGTTTAATGCTCACTGAAACCCTTTTTGGGGTAGATGGTTTTCCTTTCTCACAGTTTACATGTGAAGAAACTGAGCCTTGCTTTGTCCAAGTATTTTTAACAATCAGGGAACTTCTGTGTATGTGTTGACATTTTATGTATAAGCTTTGTACTTTTTACTTAGTATTATACTAGTAGCCTTAGTAGCCAGTGGGTAAAAATCCATGCAGTGAGTCTTAATTTTGTGTATTTTTTGTCAGTCTGTAACTAATTTCAGTTTGAATTATATATGTGTGTGTGTATTTGTGTTCTTTGTTTTTCTTTATAGTTTCTTATTACCACAGGAGATAATCTAGATTACCTGGATGGTGTTCATACAGTGTTTGGTGAGGTGACAGAAGGCATGGACATAATTAAGAAAATTAATGAGACCTTTGTTGACAAGGATTTTGTACCATATCAAGACATCAGGTATGTTTACAATTTACTATTTGAATATATTTAAATATTTTAATACTGTGATGTTTGACATGGTAGTGGTGATGGCACTTGTAAGACTTTTTTTTGACTAATTCCAAAATGTGAATTAACACAAGACTGTAAGAACCTTTGTAATAAAAAAGAACTTTTATGTTATTAAACTTGCACTGATTATTTGTAATTGCTTATGTTGGGAGGAATTATTAAGCTTTTAATTTAGTTTTTTTAAAAATACAGATTATTGAGAGATATGGCAAAAGTACTGAGGTTTAGGCCTTACATTATTTTATAGTAATGCAGAGTAATAAATATATCAAACGATCAAAAACAGTAACTAATTGTGACAATATAGTCTAGTAACATCCTTGTGCAATAAAATTTAGGAGCTTACAGTTTTTTGTCTTTAGAGATACATAAGACATTTGTTATAATATTTATAAAAAACAAAGCATAGATTCTGAAATAATATAAATGTAACATTTGACATGGATTTATTTTGTAAGGATTAATCATACAGTGATTTTAGATGATCCATTTGATGACCCTCCGGATTTATTAATTCCTGATCGGTCACCAGAACCTACTAGGGAACAACTAGATGTAAGTTGAGTCCTCTTGTGTTTGAACGTACATGCATATTAGCTTTGCATAGCTTTTGCTTTTTAGCCTTTTAAAACTTATTTCTTCAGAATGAATATTTTGCTTGATCAATTATTTTAGGATAAGTTTAGAGTTCTTTTCCTTTTCTATGGAGATAGTAATTTTCCTAGCTATCTTTTTATTTCCCATTGTAACATCTTCTCTTCAATTTCTGTTCCACCAGAAGAGCTTTACTTTGAAAGCTTATAGGAACACTTTGGGAAAATGTTTTTCTTATCTCGTAACTCTAAGTAGGAATGTTAAACGCTAAATTAAACTCTCATCTTTTAAGGGAATTTTTCACCTGGGGGATACTCTGAAGGCAAGCTGGACCCCAGAAATTTCTGTGGAATAATGCAGACTTTTTCCTCAGATACTTTAAAGTATATTTCTGCTTATGAGGTTTCCTTAAAGCTAAAGTTATCTTTATAATTGGATTTGGCGCTTAATTTCTAAGATCATTTATCTTTTGCATTCGGCACTTAGTTGGATAACAGCTAGTTTCTGTATAAATGTGTATTTTCATTTAACAATAAGAAGATTAGTCTGGGTAATGTAGAATTAATTTATATTAATTTTCAGAGGCTTATAAATTTCACATGTGGAAGTTATTCTATTCCAACACATTTGATGGAACTAAGAATAAAGTGTAATGTCCCATTTTTTTTTTTTAGATTTATCTATTCTTTAAATGTTTATCTGAGTAACTTTTGCCTTACAGAGTGGTCGAATAGGAGCAGATGAAGAAATTGATGATTTCAAAGGAAGATCAGCTGAAGAAATAGAAGAGATAAAGGCAGAGAAAGAGGCCAAAACTCAAGCGATTCTATTAGAAATGGTAAGATAATTATCTTTGTTCAAATAGTTATTTAGCAATATATTTAATACATGCTTATTGCTAGTTTATTTATTTCTGGCTTTTTGATAATCTTAAAATATAAAAATTTAGCTCAGTTTTTTTCTGGATTAAATATTGTATGACATAATAACACATGTGAAAATAAGTTAATTTGATTCCGCTATTAATGTAGTGCCAAGTGCCATTTGTAAGAATGGAAAGTAAGACATCCAACTTACAAATATTAAATAGATTTGTTGCTGTACTCATCATTTTTAAAGAAAGTTTCTTGGAAGAAATTTTATGTATATTAATGCTTAATTTTTTTGTACAACTTCAAGTATTGAAATTGAATAGTAGAAAAGTAGTTAAGGACAAAATTAACCTGGGGAGAGTTGAGTACTCTAAAACATACTCCTTCTCTATATTACTAATAATTTGAAGTCATCTGGGGAACAGTTATTTAGTAGATGATTAATTGACCTCCTGGGCATTTTTCCCATTTCCTATTTTGTGGACTAAGTATACTTTTTACATAGTAGATCATCAATAAATACTTAAATGGGTGATGGTAACTGGGTTTTTATTGTTATTTTATATAGTAGAACTTTCAGATTTATGGTCTCTTTTAAAATTCATATTAACACCACCAGTCTGAAGGAATAAATGTTAAAGACTATACTTCAGGAATACTTTAATGAATTTTAAAAAAATTGAAAATACACATTTTATTGAACACACTGTGTATCAGAGAACATTGACCCAGAACAACCAACACCAAGACAAATTCTAAGAAAATTGCTGGACCTAAAAAAAAAAATCCTTTGAGCAACAACCGGGCAACAAGAGTTAGTGACATATGAGGGAAAGAATATTAGATTATCATCAGAGTTTGTTTGTTTTTTTTTTTAGAAGGTTTTATTTATTTATTTTTAGAGAGAAGGGAAGGGAGAGAGAGAGAGGGACAGAAATGTCAATGTGCAAGAGATTGATTGATTGATTGCCTCTCACATGCCCCCAGTCGGGGTCCTGGCCCGCAACCCAGGCATATGCCCTGACTGGGAGTCAAACCAATGACCCTTCTGTTCGCAGGCCAGCACTAAACCCACTGAGCCATACCAGCCAGGGCTGTTTATCATCAGAGTTTTCAGTTGCAAAAGTATAAGAAGTTTATGTCTAGAGAAAATGAGCTAATGTATTTTTTAAAGTTTTCAGTTGCAGATGATTTAAAATTTATGGAAAACTTACAAAAAGTAGTGCAGAAAATTTCTGTAGACCTTTTACCCAGACTTAACCAATTTTTAACTTGGCCACATCTGCCTGGTCGTTCATTGTGTCTGCTCTCCCTCTCCTCTCTCCCTCCCTCCTCCCTCTTTCTGTCTCTGATTATACATGTACTTGCACATATTTTTTCTGGACCGTTTGAAATTAAATTGCAAACATCATTCTATTTTACCTCCTACGTCATTTTGTATTTCCTAAGAGCAAAAGTTTTATTCTACATATTTGCAGTGTAGTTATTAACATCAGGAAATTAAAAGTCGATAGAAATTGCAATTGAGCTCTGGCCAGGTGGCTCAGGTTGGCTGGAGCATTACTTCGTATACCTAAAAAGCTGCGAGTTCAGTTCCTGGTCAGGGCACATACCTAGCTTGCAGGTTTAGTTTCCAGTGGCGCATGTGTAGGAGCTGATTGATGCCTCCCCCCGCCCCCCGCCCCCATCTCTCCTCAGGTGAGAATTTGAAAAAAGAAAAGAAATTGAAGTTCATACTCCAGTTTTGTCAGTTATTTCAACAATATCCTTTATAATTCCCTGCCCCCAGTCCAGACCTGTCAAGCTCAGAAGGGTGATGCATATCTTTGTGTTTAATTGGCTACATCAGTGACAAAACAAAGGTTTGTCTGTGGAACTTACATATTAGTGCATAACCATTATAATTAACTAAAGTCCATAATACATTAGGATTAACTGTTTGTGTTGTACATCCTTTGGATTTTGACAGCTGCCATGTATCTGCCATTACAGTATCACACAGAATAGTTCCATTGCCCCCTAGTCTTTTGTGTTCTGCCTCTTCATCCCTATGTCCCTCAAGCCTTGACAGCTGCTGATCTTTTTTTATTGTCTGCATAGTTTTTGCATTTTTCAGAAGGTCATGAAATTAGAATCATACTTAGCCTTTCAGACTGGCTTTTTTCATTTAGCAATGTGCATTTAAAGTTCCTCTGTGTCTTGGGGTGGCTTGATAACTCGTTTCTTTTGATTGCTAAGTAATGATTGTTAAATAACGTACCACAGTTTGTTTATCCATTCACATTAAAATACTGACTGCTTCTTTTAGCATGTATGAATAAAGCTGCTCTACACATTTGTGTGTAGATTTTTGTAGGGACATAAGTTTTTAACTCCTTTGGGTAAATAGTAAATACCTAGGAGTATAATTGCTGAATTGTACCATTTAGCTTTGTAAGAAACTGCCAAAATGTCTTCCAAAGCGGTTGTACCATTCTGCATTTCCACCAGCAATGAAGGAGTGTCCCCATTGTTCTACATTCTTTCTAGCATGTGGTATTGTCAGTGTTTTGGGTTTTAACCATTCTAATAGATGATCGTGTATCCTTTTTGGTTCCCAGTGTTAACAGGTTTTGTCTTCTATTTTCTGCGAACATCAGTTTCTCTTCCTTTATTTGTGTGAAATATAATGATAATTCAACTAGTGTTTTGCATTAGCAACTAATGTTTTGAACTTCATAGCTCTTAACGGTATTTTAAATTTTCCTGTTATCTTTGACAAGTATTATAGTGAGTTCTTCTCTAACTTATTTTCTCATTTGTGCTTCCTTTAGATGTGGTATTTCTGCCATTGTAGGTGCTTTTGAGGATTTTACTGATTTGCTCTTCCCCTTATTTGCTGTGATACTTATTAGACATAGGTTGTTACTGTCTTTTGATAGGCTTCAGAGACAGCAGATCTACTGGCATTGTTTCTTCTTACTGTTTCTGTTTTTCAAGATTTCATTTTGTTTTAGCGTATTTCTTGAAGAGGAGGTACTTTTGTGATAACTCTTATCAGAAATCATCTCTGAGAGTTTTTGAATATATGCATACAGAATTGTTTTCCCCATCTAAAGGCCTTGGGAAAGACAGCTTTCCCGCAGTGAAACCAAGACCAGCATGGTTTTCTCTGTTACCTTCAGTTCTTCTGAAGTAGGAAGTGGTTTGCTCTGCTCAGTGCAGTGGCTGACTGTGAGGTTGACTTCGATGTGGCTGAAGTGGAAAATGATAGTGAGGGCGAGAGTGAAAAGCTAGACACACTGTCCAGAAATTGTTACTGTTCCATAGTGAACAATAATGTGGAAAGAATTGGTCACTTCTAATCTCAGAAGGCTAGATTCAGTAAGACAATATTTGTCAATAGCTTAAAAACAAGCAAAACTGATATATTGCTTAGGAATATATACCTATCTGGTAAAACTCTAAAGATATGCAAGGAAATGGCCGAAAAGGAAAACCAAGAAGCAGGATATTTATTATTTCTGATGAGTCATAGGGATAATGGGATTAGGGGACATTTTAGTTCTTAAGCAATTGTTACCATCGCAGGTGCTTTTTATTTTTATGCTTCATAACTTAGATGGACTTTATATAATTCTGTTTTTTGTATATCAAATCGGAAAAAAGAAAAAGTGAAGATGGAAACCCAGATAAACTCGGGTTCAAATCCCAGCTCAGTTGCTTATTACTGTGTGGTTTTGGGCAAGTTAGTTATTTAACCTTTTTGAATTTCACAGTCACAAAATGGATTGTTGTTTTAAACAGTGTTTTAAGAATTGTTAGTAATGAATTTTGGGGCCTTATTTAGATTTCTTTTCTTGAGCCTGCAGTTTATAATGCAAATTTAGATGTTTTAGGGAAATCAGCATTTTGGATTTGGATAGGATATTTAGAATGGAAACTAAATAAAGAGATTAACTTATATTTTTTGTTTATTTATAATTTAGGTGGGAGACCTACCTGATGCAGATATTAAACCTCCAGAAAATGTGCTGTTTGTGTGTAAACTGAATCCAGTGACCACAGATGAGGATCTGGAGATAATATTTTCAAGATTTGGGCCAATAAGAAGGTAATCTCTAGAATTAGTGAAAGATTTTAGGAAAACTAGGTATTAATTTGTGGTTTTCTAATGACATGTTTCGGTGAATCTATGAACTCTAGGTAAATTTTGTACTGGTTACAGTGGGGAAGAAAAATATGTATGTATAGGTGTACAAGTAGGTATAAAAATATGCACACATACATATACATATATAATTGAATGATTCTCCTACTTCCAACACATTTTCACAGGAGGTGAGTGGAATAGTTTAAGTCTAGTTCTGTGGTAGTCTCAGTAACCTTTTTTACTATTGAAAATATTTATCTCATTTAGGTTCTCCTTAGATTTACCAGCAATCTATTCAAAATTAATTAGAATCTCACATTTCCCAAATTTTTCTTTCTGCTAATTTCCTCTACATTATTAATGCAAATGTCTACTAAGCTAGTATTTCTGTGAGAAAGGGGAATGCTTAATAATTGATTAAAAAGTATTATTTAATGTTTAGAATTTTCCTTTCATTTCATTTTCTTTCCCTTGATTCTTCTTATCAAAAGAAAAATCTTTCTCTGAACAACTACCCAACTTTATTCCTTCACCCATTTATAATATATCATTTATTAAAAACTTTTCTATGCTGCTCCGTTTTATGTTTCCATTTTGGACATTAGATGCTGACTCCCTGCCAGGGAAGGTGAGGACTTTGCCCTTATTACGAGCCTCCCGGGTTCATTCTTTCTTCCTCCTCCTCCTCCTCCTCCTTTGGTTGTCACAATTTTGGTCCGGTCGTTGTTCAATATTTACTTTTTAATGTATATGTAAATATTGTAACAGCTGAACCATACGCTGTAATGTGATTACTTTTCCTTTTTCTCACGATGTTTTATTTTCCTATTTCATTTAATGTCAAATGAGAGCTGGGAAATGTAAGGAAAGGGAAAAGCCAGCTGGTTCAGTTCCACCTTTTTGTTCCTTTCACTTGCTTGTTAAGATGGATTAGTTCTATAGAATACTATACTTGTGGGGTTAAGTTGGAGCTTGGTTTATGTTAAAATTCAAAAATTCCAAAGCATAAACTTACTAAATGTGTATATATGCATGAATGTGCATATGTTATTCTACCAGTAACATTATATTCTATAATTTATCTACACCTGGGGACTAGGAGTGAGTTATGATTTAAAAAAATTTTTAGCAATAGTTTATTTTTGCCACAGGAAAACTAAATATTTTTATCTTATTCTTCCTTCAATTATTTGGGAATTTAGAATTGTAGCTCTACATAGGGCATTTAGAGTGGAATTAGATCCGTAATGACAAGACTGGTGAACTTTTTTAAAAAAAATTGTGATTGAAGAAATTTGGAAAAATAGTTTTGTGAATTTAACTTTGCCTTTAAGTAACTGTCTTACTTTTTGTTCACTTTGCAAGAGTGAGAGTAAATGCCTTTTTTTAAAGTCGCTTTTTGCAAACTTTCAGTTGTGAAGTTATTCGTGATTGGAAGACAGGAGAATCCCTCTGTTATGCTTTTATTGAATTTGAAAAGGTAGGTCATAATATAGACACATTAAGTTTGATATTCTTTTTGTTCTTACATGGTTTTAAAATGGGACAAGTTACAGAACTTGAATTTCTAGTCCCTATAATTAAAAAATTACTGTGTCCTGTCTTTAGGCACCAAGGAAAAATAACTTTATTATATTCAAATGGGATAAATTCAGCATCTGTTGATGTTAATATATGTACTTTTACATTAGGTTCAGGTGCAGTCTGTGTTCATGGACCTGTAAAACTTTATAAAGTTTTAGGTAAAGTCCTTACATGATTTTCCTACATGATTTTTCAGTGCTGTGTAGATAAAATATATGTAATTGAGTAAAGAAAGAGAACTGGACTGGGTGTTAAGTTCTAGATATTAATCCAAGCTTTGTCACTGCCATGCTGTTCATGCCATTTGGCTGTTTAGAACTCTTCTTTCCAGGTGTTAACTTCCTTATAAATATAATTTGAGTGTTGGATTGGATGGTACCTTCTGAGTCTAAAATTATGATAGTTTATGTTACTCAAATAACTTTCTTTAAGCCAGGCATCACGCTACTTGGCACACATTTCATCTTCACAGCTCTGTGAGATAGGTGCTGTCCTCCTTGAAACACATAGTGGTGATGTGACGCGTTTAAAATGACGCGCTTTGTGAATGACATAGCTGGGGTGTGAACTTACATATGTCTGACTCAGTTCACATTGCTTTTTGCCGCTGTGCTAGGCTATGCTGTTTCTTTATGCAGCTTTGAACTGATATGTGTCCAAATAGTAGCTCAGTCTAAGTTATAGTTATTCTAAAGCATTTATTGAATGTCTTTTGTATTTCAGTGTGATAAGTCCTAGGCCTACAAGAGGAATAAAGGAGGGTTGGGAAGACAGACACCTAACAAATTTTTCCTAGATATCGTCAGGTGTACCAGAAACGGTTATCTACAAGGTGCCTGGGTGCTAGCAGGAAGATCTCCACCTTTGGTTCGCTACGAATACTGCTTGTATCCCCGGCAGTGTCATTCCATTGTTGACACTGTGGGATATATTATTAGTTGCTCACAAATACAATTGCATTTCTTGTACAGCACATAGACTATTGACTGCCTGTATTTCTCAGTCTTCTGCGGGTAGACCATTTTCCATGAATATGCACTTCAGTTCAACTTTATAGAATCTATGAGTTCTTTATCATGATTCAGCATTTCAGTTTTTGAGAGGGATCTTTTGTGACCTTTATCATTTGTTGAAAATCAGGTTAAGCTACATCATTCTGCTTCATAATTGTCATGGCCAAGTAGCCGTTTTGTAAGTGTTCATCATTTAGTCTGTATTTTTTCTGTGTGCAGCAAGGTCTGTAAGTTTTGGGTAATCTGATCCAGAAACTTTTTAAACTGGAGTAAAATACTGCCTTGGCTAGTATGACTCAGTGGAGTGCCAGCTTGTGAAGCAAGGGGTCGCTAGTTCGATTCCCAATCAGGGCACATGCCTGGGTTGTGGGCCAGGTTTTAGTAGAGGGTGTGCGAGAGGCAACCACACATTGATGTTTCTCTAACTCTCTTTCTCCCTTTCCCTCTAAAAATAAATAAAATAATAAAATCTTTTTTAAAATTGTAATTAAAAAAAGTGAAATACACAGAGAAAATGTGTAGCTCATGAGTAAATGGCTTGATGAGTTACCACAGTTAATACACCCATGTGAACCATCACCCAGGTCAACATGTAAAACACTAGCGGAAAAAACTGATCATGACCCCAGAGGCCCTTCTGTGTCTCCTTCAGATAATTTCCCCATCACTGCTACTTCTGACATCATAGATTGGTTTTGTCTAGTTTTAAACTTAATATAAATGTAAACATGTATACATTTTTGTTTCTAGCTTCATTTGCTCTGTTATATTTGTAAGATTTATATATGTTACTACAGGTAGTTTTTCTTAACTTTTCCTTTGTTAATTTTTACCGACATACGGTATTTCACTGTAATAATTGTGTGTGTGTGTGTGTACACACATGTGGGCCAGCATTCCCTAATCAATCACAGAAATACTTCTTCACTGAAACAAATGAATAGTCATACAAAGTGGGATAACTTAAGGCCATGGCCTCCCATTAGGTTAGGTTTTGCTGTCAAATGGATTTATACCAGGTTTATAAAAATGTTTCAGTTTTCAAGGTAATTATGGGTTTTGACTAAAAGGGACTGTGGACTTGTGTAAGACAGTAGGTAAGTGTATGTATGTCCACTGCAGTCAGACGGCCTCAGTTTAAATTGTGCCCTCACCCTTGCCAGCTGTGTGACCTTCGGCAATGTCTGTCCCTTTCTGAACTTCTCTTTTCTCTTTGAGAAAAGGTAAGAGAACAATAGGTATTACCTCATACAGTTGTTTTCAGAGTTAATTGAGGTAATAGATGCAAAGCATTTAACAGCAATTTGATGCGTAATCAGCATTCAAATCTTTGTTTTAGTAACAACAAACTTTTTTTATTTTCAGTATTTGTCCTAGCTACAGAAATCTTTTTCATAAAGATTTATGCTTAAGTTTTTATAACTGTTATCAGGAAGAAGATTGTGAGAAAGCATTCTTCAAAATGGACAATGTGCTTATAGATGACAGAAGAATACATGTGGATTTTAGTCAGTCTGTTGCAAAGGTCAAATGGAAAGGAAAAGGTATGTTGGTTGGTTATTTTTTGTTTCTGTTTTGCTCTCCATGTTTTGTGCATGTGTGTATCTCCTTTGATTTAGTGTTGTTAATTAGGAGAAATGCAGTTAGGAGAAATGCTCTTTCATGTAACTCTTGCCATTTATGGTTTAATCCTCACCCAAGGGTATTTTTTTCATTGCCTTAGGGCGATGGGAAGGGAGGGAGGGAGGGAAGGGAAGAGAGAGAGAAAAACACAGATGGGCTGCCCTCTTGTGCGCGCCCTGACTAGGGATTGAACCCGCAACCTGTTAGTCTACAGGACAGTATACCAGCCAACTGAGCCATACTTGCCAGGGCTATATATGTGACATTCCATAAATATCTGTGTCTCTGTCTATTTATGTCAAATAAGTTTGACATGTCAGACTTAAGGCTGAGTCTGTGGTATGCTGAAATAAATATGCGGTTTTGATTTTTGGTGCAGTGTTTTTAAAGATTTCACTTTGATAACTGGATAAAAAAAGTTGTATATATAGAAGACTTCACTTTGGCAGTTTACCATGTAATGCTAAATTTTACTAGGAATTCTAGGATTATGTTCTTTTCTATAACACTTTTTCTTTATTTCCAGTCATTTTAATGGTTTTTTTTTTTTGATAGGAAAGAAATAGAAAGCACTACTCGGGAGTGATGTGCAAAATTGTTTGGTAGTTACATTACTTTATGGGAATTCGAGAAAGGCAAGGTTATTAATGATGGGACTAGGGCAGGCAGGCAGGTCCTGTGGAAGCCGCACTCTCCATGGTAGGAGAGGGACTTGGTAGGAGGTTCCCTGTACTTGTTTCTCCCGTGAAGCCTTCCTACTATTAGAGTACATGACCAGATTTCGGCACTCCTATCTATTTTGAGTGAGTTGTGAAAACTAAATTGAGGCATGAAGATGGTGTGATAAATGTGATAAATGCAACCATGTGAATGAAAGAATCAAGTAAGTATATTCAGGAACTATAGATGAGCTGCTAGCCTAATCCAGGACGTTCTGGTCCTTAAGTACAGCCAAGTTGGTCTTCCATGTGGCTTTTCCCTCAGGGAGCTAATTTAAGTTTGTCATTGGAGATATATGTGAAACTAGTATTATTACAATTTCTCATTACAGAAAAGAAATTTGAGATATAATCTTCTGAAGTGACTTATCCAGAGTCACATAAACTGATTATTTAAACAGACCCTAAATCTAGTTTTTTTCCCCTTAATTCTACCTCTTCCTAACCTATCCACCTGCTGAAGAAATGATACTGCCTTCCTAAGTAGTCTCAATGTAGTCTATTAGCAAGATGACTTTTAAGTGAATTTCTTCATATTGTTTTCTAAAGTAAAATACCACATAGGAGACAGATGCTTCAGTTTCACATATGCCATCATAAACATATAGTTTGTTGTTAATCTCGGTTAATTTTGAGATAATTTTGTATATTATGGATTCACCTTTAATTACCATTCACAGTGCTAAGGAATTTCCCTTGTAGTCTTAGTTAACGATTCCAACAGCTCTCTGAAATGCCGGTGTTTCTTTCAGCTTATAAATGAGGAGGGTGAGTGTCAGAGAATTGCAGTGTCCGACCCAGGACCTGTAGCTGCAGTCAGGATGTGAGTGTAGAACTGCTCACTGTTTAGCCTCTCACTCTTATTTTACCATTGCTGCCTCGTCCATAGTGAAACTCCTGACACAGCGAATCTTTCTTCAGTGATAGAATGACACCTGTTTGTTAGAGTTATTGGTACAGTATTTTGCATTTACATGAAACATTGTCTACTGGCTGTTTCTCTTTCAAGAATAGTCCCATCTTTTAATCTCATCCCCCTTCCCCTTTTAATTTCCATTTTCTCTTTTGTTTAAAGATCCTGACAACAATCAAGATGTATATAGGGTTTATAGTCAAAACCCCTCCCTCTGTACCTCCAGTTTACTTGTACATTCAGCCTCGGACCTCCCACTAGAAACAATTCCTCATTGTCCTTGAGGAGACAGGGAAGGCTGGGCAGTCGGTGGGTCTGGGGCACAGATGGGAGCTGACTCCTCCCCTGGTAGGAGGCCAGGCTGGAGAGCAGAGAGGCTGCATGGAAGGCGCTCTCCTCTCCGGGCCGTGTCCTGGCAGGCCAGCGGGGTTAGCAGTGGGGCCTGTTTTTCTGAAGGGATTACTGTTGATTTTATTTTGGGCCCTCAAGAGGAATAAAGGTGCTCTTAAGCAGGAATTTCAAAGCAGAGACAGGTTATCTTCGGCGCTCTCACCAGCCTTCCCATCTCGCCTCTCAGTGAACGTCTGCGTGCACCCTGCCATCCCCCAGTGCTAGGTGCTCTGTTAAGATTCGGGGATGTGTGTCTTTTGACAGGTTACAGGTCTTTAAAGCCTCACTTCTTCCAAACTTGTAAGCCTCTCAGATCTCAGACTTACACCCCAAACTCTTAGCTTCCTTTGGGCCTAATGTTCTCATGGATGCAATGGCTCTGCTTAAGAACTGCATTATTTTCCAGTGGGTGTGTGCACTGACATTTAAGATTGGAAAGTATGGTGGTGTAATATTCACATAGTTCATTAGGTGGCAGCATAGGGCTACCGGTTAAAATAGTAATGGAGAATGAATTACTAGGATTCTTTTGTTTTCAGCCTTTTTTTATGCCCTGATATTTATGCCACTTACAAAATAGCTCTTATATATTATACCTCTTACTAAATGATTTTTGTTCTTGATTAACTAGGTTATTTCTCTTAAGTTATTTTTTCTTTTCTTTTTAATAAACAGGTGGAAAATATACCAAGAGCGATTTCAAGGAGTATGAAAAAGAACAAGATAAACCATCTAATTTGGTTCTGAAAGATAAAGTAAAGCCCAAACAGGAGTATCCTTCACAAGAAGCTGTTAGTCAATATGTGTTGACCATCCACTATGTAAAGTACCGTGTGAGATGTTATAAAAAGTCACAAAGGCTATAGAAAAAGTTCCTGAATCCAGATAGTTTGTGAAGGACTCATTGAATTGATATTTATCTCTTTTCACTGTCTTATATATACTTTACTTTTCCAGTATATGGAGAAAGTTAGGGTTGAAATGAATCTTTAGCCGACTTTCCCTCCTCTTAGGTTAAAGTTAACACTTATTCTCAGAAGATTTTTCAGTTTAGATGCATATTTTCTCTATATAATTGTAATGTTTTAAATTCCTCATAGTCAGAAATTTCTTTATTATAGTGAAGCTAAATCCTTTATGCCACACCTTCACCATATGTTTAACTTTGGGTATGGTGAATATGGAGACAACAAAATTCTGTTGTTCTTTTACATAATTAGGTTGCTTCTTTCTGCTTAGTACATTGTCAGTCTAGCAGCAAATAAATACCTGTTGGGCTCCTATTCTGTGCGAGAGTTGACTTTTATAGGGTTAAAAAATCCATTGACTTGAGCATTTTATTTCGGTTCTTCTAAGTTTTAGGTTGGGACGAGTAAGAAGCAAGGAAACATATTGTTCATTTTATGTAATTTTAATTTTTTTCATTGATATTCTCATTAATTTTTTCCTTGATATTCCACACATTGCAAAGGTTATTTCTTTTGTGATTCTTCCTGTAAATGGTTTCTTTGTTTTCTAGTTTCCATTGGTCTTCCCAGGATTCTTTTTTTCCATATTATATAGACATTTATTTTTTAAGTAGTCATCATGGGAAGATGAGTATTGGGTTGACCTATTATATACTCACTTTAAAAAATGTGTTGTCTCCAATATGTAAAGCATTGTAAGATGTTAGAGCTGGGCAGAGGCTACAGTCCACTCACATAGTCAGTGGCAGGAGAGGCTTTTACATGCAAACAGATCACTCAATAAACTAAGATTTAGTTGGAAAAGATGAACATTACAGGGGATACGAAATCTTAAAATCATAAAAAGTGTGGACGGGATATACTTGAGATTGAGTTATCAAATCTGTAAAATTAAGTTTAGGATAACCAGTAGTAACTGCAGTGGAAGAAGGGGAGTGAGGGGGACAAGGGAAAGGAAGTACAGGTGCAGAGTATGAGATAGAAAGAGATGTCTTTTCCCCCATAGAAGTAGTTCAGGATGAGAAAAAAAGATTACATAATATTATAGTGTTTTAAATCCAAGATGATAGCTTACTAAGAGTGAAGAAAGGAAATAGGCATGATTGAGCGTAAATCTCTAACCCAGTGCTGTCTAGTCGGACTTTCTGCAGGGATAGAAATCTACTATATCCCCATTGTCTCGTATAGCTACCTACTACATGTGATTATTGGGCACATGATGGACTAAGGAATGGAATTTAAAATTGTTTAATTTTAATTAATTTCAATTTAAACAATCACATGTAGCTAATACTGAACAGTGCCTGCTTTAGTGTTTTGAAGTTGATGGAAAAGACAGGCATGTTTTAGTGTAAACCACTCTAATTATTCTCAATCAGAATATTGAACAAGAAAAAGGAAATTTATGAGTCTGACACAGTGGGATAGTTTTTAAGTTCTGGGTCATTGACAGGTTTTATTTTAGTGAGGCATTTACAATCTTGGGAACAATAATAGGGGATTACATGTTTGTAATATGTAAGATAAATATATATTTTCCACATCATACTATATATTGTTTGTTATTATGGCAAGAAAAAAGGATTCAGAGGATAATCTAATGTGCAGATAAGTTGTCTTAATTCAGTTAAAAAGGCACACTTTATAGATCTTGAGAGAAATCAAAATTGCTATAAATATAGACTGCTAATAAGACTGAAAAATAGAAGTAGAGGTAAAGGCACCTCAGGGAAGAAATTGGGAAAAGAAGTCAGAGAGATCACAAATTATATTTAATTCAAAGGATTTTGTAGAGATTTAACATCTTCCAGAAGTGCTGATTGTAACAGTGAGTAGAAGACAGTGGCTAAGTGAGGAAGAAGGGATATAACAAGTGTCTTGGTGGCATAACGTAATCAACAAATAATTATTTGGCATTGATTACATACTCAGATTAGCAGCAAATCATAGCCCCTGCTTACATAGACCTGTTTTTTTTTTAATCCTCGCCTGAGGATGTGTTTATTGATTTGAGAGAGAGAGGGAGAGAAACATTGATGTGAGAGAGAAACATTGATCAATTGCCTCCCATGTGTGCTCTAGCCTGGGATCGATCCCACAACTTAGGTATGTGCCCTGACCGGGGATCACACCTACAACTTTTTGGTGTACAGGAAATGATGCTCCAACCTAGTGAGCCACCTGGTCAAGGCAGACCTTATGTTTTATTATTGGAGTTGCAGGGAGCAAAGGGAGTGGAGAACAGACATGAAATAATTACCATGAATTAAATACATCTATAGAGTGTTGCAAAGAAATACATTTGTGGGACATGGGATTTTTAATAGAGGTGCGGGTCAGAGAAGAGCCTCAATAACACTCAAAGGAGTGATATTAAAGCTGCAACTTGAATATGGGGGCAAGGAGGGCAGAGGTGGGGTACCATCTAACTGTGCTATGTCATTTCAGAAAGACAGCTTATGTCTTGACCCATCACAACCCAAGTATAATGATCACATGCACCCATATTTTTCTTCGATGCCATGCACTCTTGTTTCCTAGTCTATGTTATTAGAAAAGTGCTGCTTGTGACCCATTCAGTAGATTTTGCACTCCATTGATGGACTGTTATCAGCATTTTGAGAAACACCTCTCTAAGCCTTTTGCACAGAGAGGGAAGCATGTGAAACGCAACACACTAAGGTGAAATCCTAAACGAGGACTATTGAATTTGTATCTGAGAAAGGAGAAGGTCCAGAAGCTGCCCTGGGAATAGTGTGGCAGTGCAACATAGTGTAAAGGAGAAAAGAAGTCAGAGACAGTACAGTAATGACAGCATGGTACAGGCTGACTCACCGTCTCAAGCCACCTGACGGAAAGTGGAACGGTGCAGGGTTTTCCTGGTTAATCCTGGGCAGAGGTGCGTCACGCCTGAGGACAGCGTGGACTGTGCCAGTGAAAAAGAGACGTGAAACTGGCCCCGAGGGAAGTGTGTCTGTGATCCTGCCTGTCCCCTGCGCCACTGACGGAGCCCTGTGTGTTGGGCTTCCTCATAAGCTTTCTTTTGAAAACCGCTGTTCTGGCTTTCCCCAAAATCTGTTTTAGAAATTGAGATTATTGTCAGCAGAGGTTGTAGTGGTTTTACATTGCCCCTTATGCTAACACATGGTTTAGTTTTGTTCATATTAGAGAAAATACTTATCTCTGAATTAAAACATTATCACAATTTTTATAACATATTTATGTGAAAGTTAAAAAAATTCACTCATCATTCTACCGTCTAGACAACTGATGTTTATTTCTCCTTGTTCCTGTCAAGACTTGACCTTTTATAATGTTTTGTGAAGTTAAAATCACCATATGGTATATATGGTTTTTGCTTAAAGGTTTTTTCACTTCTAATTTTTTACAAACACCTTCCAAGGTTTTTTCATAGCATTCATTTATCATTGTTAATAACTTCCTTTATAAAGTAATGTTTTGTTAAAGTGCTACAGTAAAATTAAATATATCTTTATTACTAGGTTTTTTGTTGTTCCCAGCTTATTACAAAAAATAATCCTATCATGCATGTCTTCATTCATTTAACTTATTTGATTTTTTTATAAATTCTTATTTGAAACTAATAGGATTGAACTAATTTACTCTTCAGAAGAAGAGTCACATGAATGTACATTTTATATAGCTTTTCTGGTGTTGGAGTTTATATTATCTTAATTTTTTTTTTTTTTTTAGTTAAACATGTGCCTCATTTTCTAAGTTTAAGTTTTTCTTTATTGACAAGTGTTTCCTTATTTTTTTAGCTACTTACATTTCATTTGTGGATATATAGGTTTTTTTTTCTCCTGCCGTATTTTTTGTCCACTTACCAATTGTTAGCTGCCTATAAACAAGCAAGGTTCTTTCCGTTTTTTTCTGACTGTGTAATGAGAAAGTATGAGTCTTTTATTTTAGAAATAAACTATGCTTGTAAGGTGCTTTTCCTTCAAAAAGTTACCTCTAATGTCTTCATCCCCTTCGCTCACCAGACTCTTAGGTTTTGATGTTTTATAGGTGTCAGTTCTCACATTTGCCTTAACTAGCTGCTGCAGTGCAAAATATGACCTTATCCTGGATGAGCAGGCAGAGGACTCAAAGTCAAGTCACTCCCACACAAGTAAAAAACACAAGAAGAAAACCCGTCACTGCTCTGAAGAAAAAGAAGATGAGGACTACATGCCAATCAGAAATACCAATCAGGTACTCTGATGTCCAGACTCAGCTGTGGAGAAATAAATGTTTTATCCCTTTGTAAATTACATCTTAGTGATGGGCGTGTTCTAAGTCTTAAAGCGTAGAGTAGTTTCACTGGGGTAATGGACTTTAATTTTCAAGAATATACATCACAAACTATAAAAGATTCTTTTTGAATTAACTTGATAATACAGTTCCACATTGTGAAGCGGTTGGTTTCCATCCCACCTGTGGATACTCATTTGTTCCCGCTGACAACAAATGTGGTTATGCTAAAGCAGTTCTCACTTACCATTTTATCACCAATGCTGTGTACAGTACTAAACAGCTTGGCAGGGCCTAGGATCTGCGAAACACTTATTCCCTTTGTACTGTGTATATGAGATAAAAACAGCACTCATAATTAACCTGATCGTCCCAAAAGCTTTTTGAACAATACATTTTCAAAGGTAATAATAGTAAAAACTCCTGAAAGAAAATTGATTATAAAGAGAAGAAAGCATTTCCAGCCTGCATTTTGGCTCTCAGGTAAATGAAAAACAAATTACGTGGCAGCTCATTGCTTTCATTTTACCATACACAGACCTTTGAGCTGGGCCCTGGTGGGTGAGGGTGGTGTCGATCTGTAGAGCTGAGAAGGAACTCAGGATGGTGGGGATGTCAAGCAGAGATGCAAACGGAGAGATGCAATGTGGTTGGCAAAGGGAAGGATTTGCTGCCAGGAAAGTTAGGTTTAAATTTCCATAGTGCTAGTCATTGACGTGACCTCTGCGAGTTAACTTTCTGAGCCACAGTTTCCTCCTCTGTGAAACTGAGATAATATTTCACAGACATGTTGTTCAGGTTAAATGAAAAAAAAAAAAAAAGTGTGCAGTCATTTTCTACACTGGCTTTTGTTACTACTTTTACTGTTACAGTCAAATTACTGTTTTAAATCAGTTGGAGTACTTTTTAATTGGGTTTATATTTCATTTAATTTCTTTTTTGATGTTTAAGGATTCCTTTAAAAATTTTTTGTTTTGTAGTTTTAAAAATCATTTATATGGTTCCAAAGTAAAATCTACAAAATGGTACATACAGAGAATTTAGCTTCATTCGGACCCTGTCCTTTCTACCTTTCCCCCTGTAGTTTTTATGTGTATTATGATTTATTCTATATTTTTAAAAAATTTTCAGCAGGCATATATATTTTATATATATTCTTAGCCCCCTGTTTCCTGGTTAGCATGTATTCCTATGCCTTGCTGTTGCCCAGCCAGAGGTATAACCTCTCTTTCCACAGCCCTTTAGCTTTTAAAGCTTGCAGTCATTCACGCCCTGACATCAGTTTTTAAATTACACCTTTGTCAGTCCTTCAAATAGCCTGCACGAGAATCAGTAATAGCCAATATCTTCAAAGTCTTTATAGTGAGGTGGGTGCTATTGTCCCCATTTCACAACAAAGAGAGTGAAAACTAAGGAGGTAAAGCAGTTTTCCCATAGTTTTACACAGCTAATAAATAGCAGAGGCACAATTTAAATTCAGACTTGCACTCCTAACGACTCTGCTGCTCTTCTTACCTGGAATATATTTCTTAGTTTTCTTTTTAAAACCTATTGTTAATCTAATATAATTTGTCTCATAGTGCAACAATCCAGTATGATCTAATAGGAACATATTTCTCCTAATGTCTGTACTCCATTGTAAATTTAGCTTTTTTTCATAATGGTGGCTATATCACATTTCTATGAATATTCACGTTTTCCACTAAAAACCCTTAATTCTCGCCCCCACCCCATGTATGTGTCCTTTGGCTGTAGCTCGCCATCCTGCACATGTGCATAGACTTGCCAGTGAGTCCAGGCCTGAGAGATACATATATACATTGGTATGTGTCTAAGAGGTAAAGAAAATCAAAAGGCTGGCTGCACTTTGAGTCTGTTATTTCTCCCCCTTCTTACAAATCTTTTTTATCCTGTTGTTGGCTTACTCAAAACTTGAGAGTAGCAAATAATCTTCTTTTGGCACAGAGTAAAAAGTATCAAATGATATTTTGGGGGAATAATGTTAGTGTTTTTTAGAGAATTTTAAGGTAGTTGGCAAAATTGTTAAATTCATCCTGGCTGGGTGGTACAGTGGATTGAGTGCTGGCTTGTGAACCAAACGGTCGCCAGTTTGATTCCCAGTCAGGGCACATGCCCGTGTTGCGGGCCTTGTCCCCGGTAGGGGGCTCACAAGAGGCAACCACACATTGATGTTTCTCTCCCTCTCTTTCTCCTTCCCTTCCCCTCCCTCTCTCTGAAAATAAATAAAATCTTTTTAAAAAACTTAAATTCAAAATAACAATCTAACTTTGTTTCTTCCCTGAAAGTGTATTAAAGCAAATGGGTTTTTTTCTGTTGCGGTAACATTGGTTAATAACATTATATAAGTTTCAGATGTTCAACATTATGATTTGACATCTGTGAACAGTATAGTGAGCTCACCATCCAAAGTCTAGTTTCAGTTCATCACCATCCATTAGACCCCTTTTACCCATTTTTGTTCCTGACCCCTTTCCCATCTGGTAAGCATGAATCTGTTGACTGTATCTGTGAATTAGAGTAAATTTTAAAATTTTATGCTTTTATTTAATAATAGAGCTAAACTAATTTTATTTTCTTTCTAATGAAACAGCATCCATATTTAAGATTTCAGTCAGCCCAAATTTTTCTCTATTCTGATTTTTATCCTTTGGATTCCAGTCTCAAAAATAGAATTGTTAAAGTGAATTTTCAGTACGAGGTAATTTTGGGGTATAGCTCACATTTTTCAATTTGTCAGCATTTTGTTTGGTGATCCTAGTTTCCTAAGAATGTTTTATATCTTCAAGCTCTTTGTTTTTTATTAAGCAACAGCCTTACTGTTCAATTCGAAAACTTTTTAATTTTTCCACCTCATGTCTTAATTCCAAAGGCGGTTTCTGTGCAGTTGGGGCGGGGGTTTTACTGGGGTTACAGGAAGTGAGCACCGGCGGCAGGCTGCCTGGCCAGGTGCGCGCGTCCTCGTTACCAGCCCTCCTCTGTGGTTTTCATAGGTGTTTCGCATTCTTCTCAGTTTGGCTCTATTTTAGCTGTCATTTTAATTCTTCAATGTTATTTTAGTGATTTAGCTGGAACTAAGTCTTAGATTTCATCCCAGAGACCAGAGCAAAGAGCTTTTAGTTAGACTAGACATTTTTTTTTTTACTGCCTTACAAGAAACCATTGGCTAGGTGAAGTTGGTTGCTTTAAATTGGCCATTTTATGGTATTTTTCTCTGTTTTAGACATGGTAGTTTAATCATCTTTCTTATGTGTTAAGTGTGTAAAATGGTAGAATGTTTTAAAGTCTTTACTGGAAAGGATGTAAGAGCTCATCTGATTAATTTCCTTCACCTTAGATATGCAGAGCCTGAGCCCATAGGGCCACGGGCCTTCATAGTTCAGTGGGAGAGCTAGAACTTTAATGTTTATTTTTATTCAGTCAGATACGGAGGGTTTTTTAAATTATTCTATATCACCCCATTTCAATTTTATATATCAAAGTACTGATCAATTAAATAATTACTTTCAGTGTATGCAGATGTTGGCCTGAGTGTCCTTGTTCCTGAAATAAGGATGACACTGTACTGCAAAAGCACTTAGCACTGTGCTGGCCCGTGTGCAGACGATCTGTTCTAACATGGCTTCATCCAGGCACCAGAACATGCCTCCTTTGTGCTCACGGTGCTAATTTTTCCTTGCTTTTCAGTCTTCACTTACACTGCTTTTATTAGCCTTCTTACCACCATTCCAAACCCAAACCCTCTCATTCTTTGAGGCTCAAGTCCTAACTTCTCTATGAAACCTTCCCTGATCAGTCTAACCTCATGAGTATTTCTTGTTTGACCCAGCTCCCAAATGGCAAAGACCATTGAAACACGTAGCTGCTGACTTCAAAGCTTGTGTAAGTTTGAAATTACCCCAAATTGGAGAGGTTTTAAAGTTTCAGCCCTTTTCAGATTTTCAGGTTTCTTAATTTTTTCAAAGAATTAAGTACTGCACTCTCTCTCTCTCTCTCTCTCTCTCTCTCTCTCTCTCATTTTAAACACTCAAAGCATTTAGGTAACCATATATGTACTAATGTGCTGTAGATTTTATAACGTTATATATCAGCTAACTATCTCTTTCTTTTAAAAATTTATTGTCTCAACCAATTCAGAAATTAGCTGTACAGACAGAATTGCACATGGCCACATTTTGTATAACAGGAAGCACAAAAAATTATTTTATCTAAGGATGTTATATTTTACTAGGAAATAATTGGTAAAGGGTTAAACCAAATACTGATTCATTTTGCTACCTCTGGGACTCTTATAGAATGATAAGAACTATTGGGATTGTGTGGAAAATCATGAATAAGTTTATAATGTATTTCACACACTCACAGTGATTGTGTTAGATCTTTGTTCACATACTGCAATCTTCATGCCAGGCATAATAGTATCTAGACGGTCTGTGGAATAATGAATCATTTTTTTAAAATCCAATCTTTAACCATGGGTATGCATCACTCTAGATTTTAAACCTTGACTGTCTACTGTCCCTGTGTCTACTGTAATAATACCTGTGGTGATAAGAGTTGGGACCCTTGGGAGTGCAATCCTTAGGGTTTTGCTTTTCCTCTGAGAAGTCTTTTGAGAAAGTTGAATTTTACGAACTATCTCTTGAAACATCAGCCAGTGTGGCTCTTTTGGAGCTTCTGCTATAGACCGAAGGGTCACAGGTTTGATTCCTGGTTAGGTCACATGCCCAGGTTGCAGGTTCAATCCCTAGTCAGAGCACATATAAGAAGGCAACCATTCGCTATGTCTAACATCAACGTTTCTTTCTCTGTCTCTTTCTCCCCTTTCCTTTCTGAAAGCAGTGAAAAATAAAAGACCTTGGGTGAGCATTTAAAAAAAGTTATGATTTTGATAAAAACATATTAGCCTAGTCTAAACGAGAAAATAATTTTTTTGAAGATTTGGAGAGGAGCTCTTATAAACATTTTAAACATAATTACTCAGACCAAAGAATGTAGTATCTATTTTTTTTCTTTTTAGACTGACTTGTCTGAAACCTCTTCCAGTTCTGTTAGTTAAATGATGTCTTCTTTATATGATTCTTTTTTCTTTAAATTGATTAATGAAGTATTTTTCTTGGTTGGTCTTATGTGTTTTTTAAAAATGTATTTTATTGATTATGCTATTACAGTTGTCCCAATTTTCCCCCTTCCCTCCCTCCGCCTGGTACACTCCACTCCTTCCAGCATTTCCCTCCTTAATTCATGTCCATGGATCATGCATATTAAGTTCGACTACTCCATTTCCCATACTGTTCTTAACATACCCCTGTCTGTTTTGTACCTACCAATTTATACTTCTTAATCCCTGCACCTTCCCCCTCCCAGCTGATAATTCTCCAAATGATCTTTATGTCTATGATTCTATTTCTGTTCTGCTTGTTTGCTTAGTTTGTATTTTTAGATTCAGTTGATGATAGTTGTGAATTTGTTGCCATTTTAATGTTCATAGTTTTGATCCTATTTTTCTTATATAGTTCCCTTTAACATTTCATAGAATAATGGCTTGGTGCTGATGAACTCCTCTAGTTTTACTTTGTCTGGGAAGCACTTTATCCACCCTTCCATTTTAAGTGACAGCTTTGCAGGATAGCTTTGCTTTTCATCACTTTGAATACCTCTTGCAAGTCCCTTCCAGCCTACAAAATAGCTTTGGAGAAATCAGCTGACAGTCTTATGGGAACTCCTTTGTAGGTAACTCTCTGCTCTTCTCTTGCTGCTTTTAAGATTCTCTCTTTATCTTTAACCTTTGGCATTTTAGATATGATGTGTCTTGCTGTGATCCTCTTTGGCTCTAACTTGTTTGGGACTCTCTATGCTTCCTGGAGTTGTATGTCTATTTCCTTCATCAAATTAGGGAAGTTTTCCTTCATTATTTTTTCAAATAAGCTTTCAATTTATTGCTCCTCCTCTTCTCTTTCTGGCACCCCTATGATTCAGATGTTCATACGTTTGCAGATGTCTCAGAGTCTTATTTTATCCTGTTTTTTTTTTTTTAAATTCTTTTTTCTTCTTGTTCTTATTGAATGCTTTTCTCTTCCTTGTTGGTTCCCTGTAGATTTTTATTTATTTCACTTAATGCAACCTTCACTTCTGCCTGAGTCTTTTTTATACTGTTGCAGTACCCAATGATTTCTTTGAGCATCCTGATCACCAGTGTTTTGAGCTCTGCATCTGATAGATTGCTTACCGCCATTTTGTTTAGTTCTTTTTCTGGAGTTTTGTTCTGTGTTTTCATTTGGGCCGTTTCTTTCTCTCCTCAATTTGGCAGCCTCCCTGTGTTTGTTTCTGTGAGGTAGGTAGAGCTGCTTTGACTCCCTGTCTTAGTAGCATAGCCTATTGTAGAAAAAACACCCATCTGGATGAATGTGGTTTCTTCGCATCCTTGGTTGTCAGACTTCCATATAGCTTGATTTTCTGATGAATCTTGGCGATATTTGTTTTGAATATCTAGCTGCAACTGTTGCTGAAGTTGTGTGCAGACGTGAAACATGTTTACTTATGCCTCCATCTTGACTGGAAGTCTGTATAGGTTTCATATGGGAATTTTTTGCAGATCAGTGATGGGTCCACATTTTGAGGGTGTCGGGGAAGGAAGAGGTAGAAAGGTGACTACATATACCCAGGACTTCTGGTGTTACAATTTTGCTCTAAAGACCTGTTCTTACTTCAGTTGAGCAGTTTCAGTTCCTTGTTTTTGGATCTGATACTTCTGTGCAGCTGAAATAGTAGATACAAAGCAATGAGATTGATAAGAAAAATGGTAACATCTTTTTCTGAATTATTTTTGCTTTTTAATTTACAAGATACCCGGCATTAGTGGTAGTGTTCAAATTTGAGCTGTTACAACTACTTGCTAATGGTGGACTCGTCTAAGTTTTATTAATTGATAGTGATTTTATGGAATTACTTATAATTCTCTCTCTATTCCTTTGACAGGATATCTACAGAGAAATGGGGTTTGGTCACTATGAAGAAGAGGAAAGCTGCTGGGAAAAACAAAAGAGTGAAAAGAAGGACCGACCTCAAAACCGAAGTCGCAGCCGATCTCGAGAAAGAGATGGCCACTATAGCAATAGTCACAAATCCAAATACCAAACAGATCCCTATGAAAGAGAAAGGAGTAAAAAGAGAGACCGAAGCAGGAGTCCCAAGAAATCCAAAGATAAAGAAAAATCTAAGTATAGATGAAAATGAAGAATCAGACAGGAGTGGCTAAAATATTTACTCATCTAGCTTAGAGTAATAGATGTTCAGATTTTGTGTCAAAGCAGTTAAAGACTGCTTGTTTTTTTTCCACATTCTAATTGTGTTCTTTTATATTAATACTGATTGTGTAGTGCACAGAAAGACAATAAAGAATTGAACATTTTCTTTGTATACTTTTTTACGCTAATTTTCTTGTTATACATAAATAGTAGTCTTCATTTTTCAAGTCTTTAACATTTTCCACTTTTTAAAATGAAGTATTTCATACCTACAAAAATATCTGTGTCCCATCGGCCAGCTTAGGAAATGAATATTACCTGCATTTTAGAAGTCCCTTATGTGCCCTTTCCTTCTCAAGTAATAATTATGAGTTTTGTGTTTGTTGTTCTCTTGCTTGTTATAGTTTTATAACATATGTATCCCTAAACAAAATGCTAAGTTTTGTATGTTTTTGAATTTATATAAATGGTATAATGTATGCTCATTTCTGTGACTTGCTTTATTCAACTTAGTCCAGTACTTTTTGAGAGTGACTCACTTTTATTGCTATATAGTTTTATGAGGTCTATCTAGAAAAAGTCCAGCCTTTGTTAATATAACGAGAATGTTTTGTGCAACATTGATATCAATGTAACTTGACAGCCAAGGAGAGTGGACTGAAATGCGCATGCATGAACAATGATGACTTCACTGTACTAGTCAGTGGGCCTGGTAGACCAACGTTGAGCGAGCATGTGTACTGTGTGACCATCACATTCAAAATGACTGAGCAAGTAGAGCAACAAGTCTGTTAAGCTTGAACATTCCTCTGTGAAACTATTTGAATAATCAGAAGGCCACAGCTATGGGCAGCTGGTGATTGGCAAGCTTCATCACAACAATATGCCCGCTCATGCATCATGTCTAGTGCAGAGTATTTTGACAAAACGTCAAATCACCCAGGTGACTCAGACGCCCTACAGCCCAGATTTCGCGCCCTGCAACTTCTGGCTTTTCCCCAAATTAAAATCACCTTTGAAAGGGAAGAGATTTCAGACCATCAATGAGATTCAAGAAAATACAATGGTGCAGCTGATGGCAATGGGAAGAACTTTGTGAGGTCCTGAGGTACCTACTTTGAAGGGGCATCATTGACGTACATACAGTGTTTTTTGTATCTTCAGTAAATGTCTCTATTTTTCATATTATATGTCTGGATATCCTCTGGACAGATCTTATATGACTACCCCACAGTTTATCGGTTCTGTGGATGGGCATTTGGGATTTATTTGTTTGGCTATTGCAAACAGTGCTGCTATGAACATTGTATATCTAGGAGTGATACTGCTTGGTCATGGTGTGTGGATACCTTCATTTTATAAGGTAATGCCAAATTATGTTCTGCAGTGGCTGTACCAGTTTATATTCTACCAGCACTATGTGTTACCTTTGTTTCACATTATCTCTAACGCTTCTTAATTTTAGATTTTAATTTTGCCAATCTAGTGGATGTTAAGTGGCATGTTGTGTTTTCAAGCAAGAAGGCTGTTATCTTTGTTCTATATGCAATGTGTTCTTTTTCCCTGGCTGCTTGTAAATTTTTGATTTTTAAGCAATTTGATTATGTTGTGCTTGGTGTAGTGTGTTTCATGTTTCTCCTGCTGGGGCTATTTACCAGTGGTTTTATGGTTTTCATCAAATTTGGAAAAGTTTTGGCTGTTATTTCTTCAATTGTTACTGTCTCTCCTCTCCCTCCGGGACTCCAAATGTATGTTAGACCACATGTTATCTCACAGTCTGTTTTTTTTGCTTTTTTGTCTTTTTTCTCTTTGTCAAATTGGCCAGTTTCCATGGTCATTTCATTAAGTTCATTCATCTTCTCTCCTGAAGTATCTAATCTGTGGATCCCATTCAGTGTATTTTTGACCTCAGACATTATATTTTTAATCTTTAGAAGTTTCATTTTGGTCTTTTATATCTCCCATTTCTTAACATACTCATGCATTTTTGTATTTTTGTTTAACATCTGGAGTATATTTAACTGTTTTAATGTTCTTTAGTGACCATTCTGTCATCTGCATCATTTCTGGTCTCTGTTACCTCCCCCACCCCCATTATTGGGTTGTAATTTCCTTCTTTGCATACCTGGTACTTTTTTTTTTTTAAGATTAAAAAAAATATTTTTAGAGGGGGGAAGGGAGGGAGAAAGAAAGGGAGAGGAACTTCAATGTGTGGTTGCCTCTTGCACCCCCTACCGGGGACCTGGTGCACAACCCAGGCCTGTGCCCTGACTGGAATTAAACCGGCAACCCTGTGGTTCACAGGCACTCAATCCACTAAGCCACACGAGCCAGGGCATCATTTTTTAATTTTACTTTGTTGAATGCTGGATTTTTTATATTCCTTTAAATAAGTTACTTGGGAGCAGTTTGATCCTTTGATAGTTTTTAAGTTCAATGAAGTAGGACTAGAACAGTCTTCAGGGCAGATTTGGCCCACTATTTAGGTAATGCCCTTCAGAATAATCTTTCCTGTGCTTGGTATCTTACGAGATTTCTTCACTCTGGCTACTGGCAATGAAAACTGTTCTAAGCCCTGTATCAACTTCCAAACTGTACGACCTGTTCTTACCTGGTGGTTCTTTCCCACCATTGGGTAGTGACCTCACATGCATACACTGACTAATATTCAGCTGAAAACTCAGGGGAACCCTCTGTAGATCTGGAACTCTTCTTTTCTAGTGCCCTCCTCTCTCCAATAATGTGCACTACAAGCTTGATCTTGGCTCTCCGAAATTATCTGCGCCTGGAGAAGCCCAGCCCCTGAATTCCTGTCCTTATCCCAGGCCTATAGCCTGGAAACTCCATGCACTAAGCTTGAGCAATGGTAGCACTTGCCTTTTCCCTTTCTTTAGGAGTCACTCTCTTGCACTAGCTATTGTCCAACATTTTAAAAACTTTTTTGTCTACAAATTGTACAGGTTTTTAGTCGGGGATGGTAAATCCTGTCCCTGTTAATTCATTTTGACTAGAGAGGAAATGGCATTGTTTGAATTTGCATTTCCTCTAGGTTAAGCATCTTTGCATATATATTATGTTCATTCCTGATTGCTCTGTGAAAATCTTTTTTCATGACTTTTGCCCATTTTATTTTAAGTTTTATAAATTTATTTAAGGATTTAGTTTTTTAAAAAATGTATACTTTTACTGTTAGGTGTTGCAAACATTTTTCAGTTTGTGGCTTGTTTTTTCACCTTTCTACTGATGCCCTTGGGAGAGCACAGGTTTTAATTTTCTGCTCAAATTTTTAATATAAAAAAAGTCATACATTTATAGAAATGTGAAACATGAACATCCATATTGCCTTCCATAGAGGTTTGTCAGTTAATATTTTGTTGAACAATTTGAAAGTAAATTGAAAATATGACATTTCCCCTTTCAGTATTTCACCATGCTTCTTAAAAAGCAAGTGCCCTGTAGAACCACAATACCATTATCAAACTTAAGAAAATTAACAGTAATCCCATAATATATAATCTATATTCAAATATCCCTGATTGTGTCAAGAATGTCACTTTTCGGTGTTGGTTGGTTTTTAAATCCAAACTCAAGGTTCATGCATGGTATGTTCTTGTCAATTTAATCTCTTAACCTAAAAAAGTTTATTACACATCCATCTATCTCTACCTCCATTTTTTTTTATGACATTGACTTTTTAAAGAGTTAAGGCCAGTTGTTTTGTAAAATATTCCACATTCTGGAATTATTTGATGGTATCATGCTGTCCTGTAACCTCTCTTTCCTGGAAACTGGAAGTTATGACTAGGTGTTTCATTAGACTTAGGTTTTGTATTGTAGGTAAAAATTTCTAAGTTTAATGTCAAATTGATTAGCCTTTCTGTGTTTTATGTCTTTTTTGCTTAAGAAATCATTAATAAAGATAATCTATATTCCAAAAGTTATAAATAAAGCTTTGTTTTTACATTTAAATCTTTACTCCACATTGAGTTGTGTGTGTGTGTATATGGTGTAATACCGGGATCCCAATTTGCTTTTTTTTAAACATGTTTAGCTGTCCAAAACTAATTAATGAATGTTTCATCTATTCCTCCTTGACCTACAGTTTCATTTCTGTCATGTAAGTTTCTATATACGTGTGGGTTTTGTTTCACAGGCTCTCCCATTGGTTTATTGTTCATCCCACTGCCAATACCAAACATGTACATTTCTGTGGCTTTATAGAAAGTATTTAAACAAGTCCTCCCTTGCCCCTGCCTGTTTCATTGGGGATGCCTTCACCTTTAGTTCTGTGCAATTTTGGAAACAACTTGTCAGGTTTTCCAGAGAATTCTGTTGGGACTTTAATTGCCTTTGCATTCAAATGGTAGGTCATTTTGTGGGAAAAGAAAACCATAATATTGAATTTTCCCATTATAAAGATAGCACAACCCTCTATTCTTTAGGTTCTTAGAATTTTCCTTATAAACCTTTTGAAATTCTATTATATTTAGTCCTGGTTTCCATATCCTAATGTTCTAAGTAGTATCTTTTAAAAATATTATTTTCTGTTTTCTGGCCTAAGAGATTACATACATTTTTTTTTCAACTTTTACTTTGGGTTAATTTTAGATTTACAGAAGGGTTGCAAAAATAAAAATTTGCATAACATCCTGTGCAGGGCCATGCTAATCATCTTTGTATCATTCCAATTTTAGTATTTGTGCTGCTAAAGTGAACACAGAAGTTGTATTTTAGATTACTGCTGTTATATCCAACCATTTTACTAAAGTCTTATATTTAAAATCTGTAAGGTTTTGGGGGTCTTTTATGTGACCAATAATATCTACAAATAATAACTGGTTTTCCTAATTCTTTAAAATTTACTTTTAAAATATGTCTACACTTATTTGGAGTGGCCATGGTCTTTTGTTGCAAACCAGCTAAAATTTCTAGTACAATGATGAAGTTGGCCTGTTCTTTTTTGTGTGTGTTGCTGTTGCTCTTGTCTAGTTTTGATGTCCAGGTTATGGAATAAGTGAGTGTTCTCTCTTATTTCCCCCTATTCTCGTGAAAGAGAAGAAAAAAATTTAAATGATCTGTTCTTTGAAAACAGGGTAAAGCTTGCCTCTAAAATTGTCTGAACTTGGTCTTTGTGAGAAAATATAACTATTGATTAGTTTCAGTGATTACAGAAATACTACTCTTTCTGTTTCTTGCAAATGTTTTTTTTAAAAACATTAAAAAACATTTTTGTTATTGCATTTCTTTGGGAATTTGTAATTTTCATTGAAGTTTTTACTTTAGTGACGTGAAGTTGCTCATAGTATATCTGATAGGCTTTTTACTATCTTTTTAACTTTATCTTGGTCCGTAGGTTTTAGTGTGTCTCAGAAGCAATATATAGCTGGATTATTGTTCAACCTAATCTTAATTGAGGGGTTTATCCTAATCTTTTTTGTTTTAAGGGAATTGCCTTTGAATTTTAGCATTTAAACTTTAAATGTAATTTTCACCTTCCTCTCTGATTGAAGGTCTTGGAAATCTTTAAGTTTAAATCACCCCTCTTCCAACCCTTTGTGCTATAATCCTCCGGTATCTTAGTCTTAGCTTTAATTTTTAACCTTACAAATTAGACCTTATCGTTATCATTGCTTTAATGTAGGTAATTGTTTAGATTTACCCATGGTTAACTAGTTTTCATTACCGTTCTTACGCCTCAGACCATCTACCCAGCATGATCTTCGCTGCTTTCTGAAGCTTGTCCTTTGATAGCCCTGTATTGACATTATGGTCTGTTGATGTAGACCTTTAGTTTTTGCTTATTGAAAATGTCTTTAGCCCTGGCTGATGGCTCAGTTGGAATGTTGTCTTGTACATCAAAAGGCTGCAGGTTCGATTTCCAGTCAGGGCACATACCTAGGTTGCGGGATTGATGTCTGGTAGGGCACATACGTGAGGCATCCAATCAACATCTTGCTCTCTTTCTCTCTAAAATCAATAAACATATCCTCAGGTGAGGATTTTTTTTTAAATGTCTTTAATTGACCTATGTTCATCAATTAAAGTTTATTGTCTGTGTACACGAATCTAAGTTAGCAGTTAATTTTTCTCAGCACTTTGAAGGTATTATTCTACTACTTTGATGTCTCATTGCCATGGAGAAGTCTGTTGTTATTCCAAATGTCATTCTTTTGAAGATAATGTGTCTTTTCTTTAAGGTTACTTTGTTGTTGTTGTTAATTAAACTTTTAATTTTGAAGATAATGGTAGAGCCACCTGCAATCATAGGAAATAAACAGACCCGTTTCTCTCAGTGGTAGCATCTTGTAAAGCAAATCACTGTCACAGCCGGAGGTTTTCACATTGACATAGGGAAGAGGCAGAACATTCCCATCACAAGGACACTGCTTGTTGCCCTTTTACAGCCCCATCCGCTTCCCTGCCTCCTCTCTCCTCCTTAACCCTTAGCAGCGGCTAGTCTGTTCTCCATTTCTATCACTTTGTCATTTCAAGAATTTTATATAAATTAAATTACAAAGTGTGTATGTACCCTTTTGGGATTGGCTCTTTTTTTCACTCAGCTCAATTCTCTGGAGATTTCTTCCAGGTTGTTGAAAGTATCAATAATTCATTCACTTTTATGGCTGAGTAGGATTCCGTCTCGTATGGATGTACCACCGTGTAACCAGTCACCTGTTCAGGGACATCTGGGTTGTTCACTGTGTGGAGCTATAACGACTGAAGATGCTGCTGAGTTTTGTGTGAAGGTGTCTTCATTCTTCTTAGATGCATGCCTGGGAAAGCAATTGCTGGGTCTGATGGTAACTGCATGTTTAGATTTTTTTTTAAATGGCTGAACTGTTGTTCAGCATGTTCATACCATTTTACATTCTCACAAGTAATGTATGAGGGATCCAGGGTCTCCGCATCCTTGTCAGTATGTTTTCACAGCCTTTTATTTTAGCCATTCTGATGAATGGATAGTGGTATCGCAGTGTGGTTTTAATTTCCATTCCCCCAGTTGTTGATGATGTTGAATGTGTTGTCATGTACTCATTTTGCCATCTTCATATCCTGTTTGGTTGAAATGTCTCTTCATGTGTTTTGCCTGTTTGTCATTGGATTTTTTTTTTTTTTTTTTTTTTACTTTTAAGAGTTCTTTATCTATTTTAGAGAGTTCTTCATCTATATTAGATACTAGTTCTTTGTTGGATATGTTGTTTACAAATATTTTCTCACAGTGTGTAGCTGGTCTTTTATCCTCTTAATAGGGCCTTTGCAAAGCAAAAGATTTTAATTTTATTAAGGTTTACTGTATCATTTTCTTCTTTTATGGACTATGCTTTAAGTGTTAAGACTCTGTCTAGCTCTGGATCCTGAGGTTTTTCTTCAAATTTTTTTCCTAAAAATGTTATAGTTTTACACTTAAGTCTGTGATCCATGCCGAGTTAATTTTTGAATAAGATGTGATACTTGTCCCAGAGACTTCTCTGCCATTTTCTCTTCCAGCATAGCCTCTCCTTTAGTCATTCTATCCTTCCTTTCCACCGCCAATCAGTTTTATGCCAGGCTTCCCCATTCTGTTCTTTGCATCTGAACTCACATTTCCCATATGGTACATTCTGAATAATTTCTTCAGGTCAGCATTCTGGGCCGCCAGGTCTTCTCTTCTCCATCTAAGTCCAACCTGCTTTTTAACCCATCCAGGGAATTTTTAATTTCAGTGATTCATTTTTAGAAATTCTGTTTGATTGTTTTTCAAATTTGTGTGGTTATTTAAAAAAAATTTTTGTTATTGCTTGTTCATTTACTTCTACACTGTTTTATTTATTTTCATGGTTAATTTTGTCTTTTCAATAATTTTACATCAATGAAATTACATAGTGTGTATCCTTTATGTTGTGTTTTTGACAATTCTAATATCTTAATATCTTGAGAATTTAAATCTTTAGTCTTTCTTTCTGCTAACTCTCGTGCATAGAAGCTTCTTGCGTGTTTCAATTTTTTCAAATTGGAAATACATTATTTGGGACTCCTAAGGTAACTAAAGTGAGGATCATTTTCTCCCAAGAGGATTCATATTTGCTATTCAGGCTCCAGGCAATGGCCACTTTGGTTGCTTGGCTTGTGGCCTCCCCGTGCATGCAGAGAGTAAAAATGGCAGGGAAAACAAGTCTCATCTTCAGGTCTCTCCCCACTTCTGTCACTGCAGGCCGGGAGGATGCTTGCAGATGTTTTTCCAGCCTCACCTTTCTCTGAGGGTGAGCCCTTCTGTTCTGCCGGCTTTCTGCGAAGACTAGCTTCAGCTTCCCAATTCTCCTTCAGGCCCAAAGCCGAGTCTTCATCAGCATCTCCCCTCTCTGGGGACCTGAGGCCTTTGGTCCCCATGCTGTGCCTTGTTCATAATTCTTAGCCATCTAATAGAAAAAATTGTAATGACATTACACAGAATGTAGAAAGATAAATATTGCTCATTCAGAAGATTATACAATGGGGCCTGAGAAAATGAGCAAGAGAGGAACAACGGTTGGATGTGCTAGGAGAAGTGAGGAGGAATAACTTCCAGCTTCTGACACTTGGATTCAATAGGTTCAGTGGGAAAATAAAAGTAGTAAAAATGTCTGAACCGAGCATTTCAAGGAAAAATTGTCCTTGATTGCAAAAGCTGATATTTTAGGTATGAAAAACTGTAGTTTTAATGAGAGACGTGTGTATGGAAACAAGTTCTAATAATCAGGACGTGATTTTCATGGTGATGACCTTTGAGCAGTGTCCCTCATGTGCCTTTGACAAGATGCAGGGCAGTCTGGGCACTATGTTACTACTTAACATCTAGTTAAAGCAACCATGTTATTTTGAAATTGAAATTGCTCACTCATTATAACTTTACTGTAAAGTTTCGGGTTGATTTCTTTTCCCAGTTGAATTTTGAAAGATTTTGATCAGAACTATTAAAGGCTCAAAGTAAAGACACTCAAAATAAGTTTATACTTACACAAATGTCTTTTAATAAATGGGTTGCTTTTTAGCTATGAGGGGTATATTTCCTATTTGTTTTCTACTCCTCATAAAAACTTTTAATCTCAAGTTTGACATTTCTTACCCACCTAGGCTGAGTCACAAAGAGTACATAATGGAGAGTAAAATCGAAATCACAGAGGCCTTACCTTTCAGGGGCTGTTGCTATGAAACGCTGTTTTGATGGGAAATTTTAGAGAAGTGTGTGCTTCCTGTTATTAAATGATAGACTATGGAGATCCCCTTCATTTTCGAAAAAATGTTTTTAAGCAAATAATCTCAATTCTTGCTACTGGGACCATCTTTATTCTTAAAATTTCTTAACCACATAGGACTGCTAACTAGAGTTCATTCTTTTGTCGGCCCCTCTCATATTCCTCATGCATTGAGTGGGCAGATGGGCAGGGTTTTCGAGACGTGTTTCATGTACAATGAACGCATTGTTTGGCTATTATTTATTTTACCTGGGACACTAGGAATCTTGAGACACCTGAAGGATTACAAGTGCGGCAATGTGCTAGCCAGAGAGCTTGTAGGAAAAGAGAACTTAAGAAAGTGTGGCTTTGTTGTCATGAATTGAGAAAAAGACCACACTCACCCCTGGTTCCTGAAAAAGAGAAAAGTTTTGTTTTGTTTTGTTTCCTCCAAGGGCAGCCTGGTCTGATGGAGAGAGCTTGGGATCCGAGTCAGAAAACTTGAGTCAAGAGCAAGGGCAAGATGT